CGGAAGCCTGAGTCACCCTGTAAATATTCAAAAGTAACTGAAAATTTATATAGGAGTAACTGAAAGTTTAAATTGAATATCGACGTTGGAGCGATTTTCGAAAACTACCTACTAACGTTTCAACATAAGTATATGTGGGATATTAATTATATCATTATATTAGACCTTATAAAAAAACTCATCTGACGAAAAAGTGTTAATGTAGTATATTAATATGGAGTAAAAATTTTACTAATTACCTACTTTACTTTTATTTTACTAATTAAATTCGTTCCAAAAAACGATACGCCACTGGCCATTAGAACAATACAAATGCGCCTAGTCGCCGGGGTCGGAAATTTTAGACTTCTCTGTCTCTTCTGTCCTTGTTTGACACATTGGAATGTTTGATACACTACCAACGAGTATTTATGAATGAGATGTTCGGTCTATCTTTATAATGTCTTTGGTTGCATAGGTTTGTCAAGGGGGTGATGTAGAGTAGGCCTTGGTGTGAGGATGGTTATCAGACTGTGTGAATTATTTAGGTATTTTTATTTATCTTTTTGTGTTTGGTTGAAAAGTTGGATATTATTTGATTGTTTTGGTACATACATAAATAGTTTGAGTTATGAATGTAAGGGATAATGATGAGCGAGACTGTAGTCTTGGTCTTGGTATTACTTTTTCTGCATGACCAAGACCGACCAGTTTAAGACTTCCTTAAGACCAAGCATGCAAGTCTTGTGGTTTTTCATTTCTTTAATTTTTATGTGATATAAAAAATGAAATAAGAAACTTATGTGTAAGTATTTTCACTTACTTATTCTTTACTTATAAACTAACTGTTTAAATTTATTACATGTTATTACTTATTACAAATAGTGTTTCCCCGACTATTTGCATAAAATTTTAATGAAAGAAATGATGATTCAATATACTTACTACCGGGTAGTGCATCGTCGTTGGAAACATAGAAATCCCATGCATGCATGCAAATTTTAAACTGTCCAAATAATGGCTCTCCTATTAATTTTACAGCTAAGTGGTAAGTAGGTTTTTTGCCTATGCCGAATACACATGCCAAATTTCAACAATTTTTGACAAGCCGATTTTAAGTAATGATTCTGCATTTATTTTTAAATTATAACTGAACAGGTAACAATACAAAAACCAGTCAAATGTCAACATACCTAAGTTGTCAACCATGATTTTATCATTACCAAATTTAACTGTCTGTTTCACCGGAAATGACTATAACTTTTGATTTTTAAATGTATTTAAATTTTTACCGAGTATACATTTAAAAATTAGAGAATTTTTAAATGTATACTCGGTATTTTTTTACTTTATTCGATAGGAAATGACACTCTGGATAGAATGACGTCTCGTATGTCAAATTTTGAATTTTTGTATTTTAAATTTCAATCTAAAGTGCCATTGCTATGTTAAAAACACTAATTTTTAACCAAGGAGCCTTGGAAAAATAGATTTGATCGTCTGATGTTCGTCATAAATTTAAATTTTTACCGAGTATACATTTAAAAATTAGAGAATTTTTAAATGTATACTCGGTATTTTTTTACTTTATTCGATAGGAAATGACACTCTGGATAGAATGACGTCTCATATGTCAAATTTTGAATTTTTGTATTTTAAATTTCAATCTAAAGTGCCATTGCTATGTCAAAAACACTAATTTTTAACCAAGGAGCCTTGGAAAAATAGATTTGATCGTCTGATGTTTTTAGTGTCTTGTCCTGGCAGTTTAAAAGATGCCCTAATCGTATTTTAAATAATATCTCAATTTTTTCAAATGGAACAAGGATGACTCATTAGCATATTTGGAAAAATAATTTTTTTACGAATAATTTTACACCACACACTTGGTATTTCGAGTCAAATTGTCGTTATGAACTGCATGTTACAATTTCAAATAAACCGTATGCGAAAATGTCAAAAGTTGACATATAATATGTCATTCTATTCAGAGTGTCATTTTCTATCGAATGAAGTAAAAAAATACCGAGGGTGCGTCATTTAAAAATCAAAAGTTGTAGTCATTTCCGGTAAAACAGGAAGTAACCGAACACAATTAAATATACGTCAATCAATCCTAATTTATGGCATATAATAACATACCAAATCTCGTTTTTTTTATCTGTAAAAATAAAAAAGTTATAGGGGTGAGCCGCTTTTGAGACGCACCCGGCATATTTATTTCTGTTCTATAAAATGGAAAATGAGATTCTTTATATTTCTATGTTTTTGATAGTTTCTAATGCCGGGTCCAGACCAAGGTGACAAAAAATAAACACGATTTTGAGACAAAAACAAGACAAACTTGTCACAAAAAATAGAGACTTCTGACAAGACAAACTTGAGACAAATTGTCCACACCGCAATGATAAAAGTACAAAAAAGTCAAAAGTTTAGTTATTGCGAATGAGTTTTATTAACCATGTGTAGTCTTCTACTGTTGGCAGCACACGCCATCCACACTGCGCCGACAACTTGTCGCAAAATATACGAACAAAACATAGACACTTTGATCTTTACCGACTCGAGACGGGACATTGAAAAGTCTCCGAATTTTGAAACAAAACAAAAATGAGACAAAAATGTTAATTTTTTTAATAAATGGCATGTTAATATGTATTGAGTTTACACATTATACTGTCTGATCGAAAAATAACTGCGCCCAGTTGGCTTGGAAATGATGACATTCTCCATATAATTTTACATATAAAAAACAGCGATCTTCATTTCATAGCCATCGCTGACGTAGTTTTATCTCGATCATATTGCATAAGGGTGTCAAAATCTTTGAGTTTTGTGAAATGTTTATAGATCTGGCAACGTCGTTTTCGCGTTACACCGTTCGTTCCATCGTTAGCTGCTAGCTGCCGCTCCGCCCACCACTATCTCTTCTCCGTAGTCCATTCATTCGTTCTTCATGTGGTAGCTAGATCCTTTTATGTGACCCGCTTCGAGGACAGGAACGCGTACAGGGCCGGCCCTGCCCCCGCTAGGTCAAAGTCAAGGTCACCGAGGGCCCTTCTTCGTCGTTGCCGGGTGGAACGCCGATTTGACATTGAACTTGGACATTTCCTTGCCTGTACAGTGCATCGGGCATGCGGCGGCAGCTGTACGTGGTCGATTCTCGATTGTTTTTGGTGTTTTTCGACTGTCCGGGCAGAGGGGCGTGGCGATGATGAGGCGATTGCGGTTTTGCCAGGTGTACGAGATTTATAGGATTTTGGGGTAAAAACCGTTGGCATTAAAATCATTAGTTATTACAGTGCTTTTATTTTCTCTTAATTCGAACATACCATAGCCACCTAAGCGAAAATTGATTTTAGTCATGATTAAAATTTAAATAATCTTTCGAAATATAAACATGAAAAATCTAAATGAAGAAAATATTAAAACAGACATAAATGTTCTTTTGTTTGGGCCGCGGTTATTTTTTATTTAACTGCTTTGGGATAGATACTGTAATTACTATTACTTCACGACAAAATAATTGATAAATTAAATAAAAACTATATTTACACTTCGCGGACATTTTATTGCCTTCACCAATTAATTTTGGAATTTTGGTTTCAAATATAGTTTTTCAGAACTTATCTATATCATTGTTCATATATTTTTAAGTTTTAAGTTACTCGACCGCTTGGACAAATTGTGCTTTGAATGGTGGTCAAACTAATAAATACGAATAAAGCATAAGCATATTATATATACTATAGTCGTATGTCATAAGAAGGTCATTGATGCTAGAAAGTATCACTGGCCTTTCACATGTACAAAAATATCCAAGTCCTTAAAGTGCCGAAAGAACCGGGAATTAATAATTTCGAGTCCTGGTTCTTTAGTGTCCCAAAGGGATCGGTACGTCCCGATACTTTCGGTACTGGGATCTCCCGGTTCTGAACCCTAGTTCACACTGTAGTATAGTGCAGTATATTATTCTTTTTTGTCAGTCATTATAATAAGCATCATTATCACTTATGTTCATTTTGTAGGAAACATCAACCATAATGAATATAACAAATGTTATTTTATATATTTCTTTTAACAAATCTTATAGAAACCACACCATCAAATGACAAATGATGACATGTTTATTTCATTGACATTATTGTCAGTTTTTAATCTAAGGTTTTTATACTCAAGAGTTTTGTATAATGCATTTTTGTATGTTACTTATACCTTAATTTATTAGTGCCACACAACTATTGTGATAATTACAAGTATACCTATAGGCACAAAGAGAAAGTAAATATATAAAATTTACAGACCAAAACTTGGCTATCTGCTATATCAGTTGACAAAGGACGAAGCCACAATGCATTTAAATGTAAAATAAAAATATGTATACCGGATGCATCTCAAAAGTGGCTCACCCCTATAATTTATATATGACATAAATTAGGTTTGATTGACGTATTCAGTTCTTTTCGGCCACTTCCTGTTTCACCGAAAATGACTACAACTTTTGGTTTTTAAATGACACTCTCGGTATTTTTTTACTTTATTCAATAGAAAATGAAACTCTGAATAGAATGACATATTATCACCTATCAAAAAAGGACATTTTTGACATTTTCACTAATTTTTAATCAAAGAGCCTTGGAAAAATAGATTTGATCGTCTAATGTTTTTAGTGTCTTATCATCGGTCACTCTTTATTTCAGTGTCTTGTCATCAGTCAGTCAGTTTTTAGTGTTTTGTGAGCGGTCAGAAGATGCATGCCCAAATCGTATTCATTTTTACAAATAATTTGGTACCACACACTTGGTATTTCGAGTCAATTGTTATGAATCGTATGTTGCAATTTCAAATAAACAATATTCGCAAATGTCAAAAGTTGACATGATATGTCATTCCATTCAGACTGTCATTTTCACCGAGCGTGTCATATAAAAATTAAAAGTTGTGGTAATTTTGGCTACATTTCGATTAAGTATGTAGTATACAAAGCCTACATTTTCCATTAAAAACAGTTTTATTTTTAGGTGACAAGTTTCGTCTGGTACTAGCTACCACCTTAAGAGAAGATGGCTACCCAGATAGCGGTGATTGGAATCCTCAGGGCTTAGAAAGTGAAGGTTCCAGGGCTGACAGTTTTGAATATGTCATGTCTGGAAAGGTGTACAGAATAGAAGGCGACGAGGCTGCTATGGAACCATCCAGTAGACTGTGAGTGTTATTTTTTAAAACATTTTTAAAAATCGTTTGTCGCCGTAGGGAGAAAAATTAAAGATATGACAACGATAATAAAATAAGTTTAATTCATGTCTCCCAATATAATTTACGTATAAACATACCATACGAGCAAAAATAGAATTCCATTTGAGATATTCAGAGGTATTTTTCTTAAAAAAAATAAATAAGTTTGTAAATGATATTAATACGGAAAACAGAAAGAAAAATTTGATGGTCCGGAATTGGGGACCACCCTGTGTTTACTGAATGTTACAAACCGTGAACACAGCTGGTGGTATCTCAGTTTCTTTCCATTGTTTCCAACGCCCATCATCAGGAATATTCGTGGTAAGCTATTATTAGTACCTAGTTATTTTTAATACAACATTATTTAGAAAAAATAAAGGCCCAAATGAACAAAACAGAAAATGTTTGTAAAAAATATTTCGATAAATACAGGACAAATTAAACAGGTAACGACATCTAGCGATAATTACGTCATCTATATTGCTTACGTTCTCAAGTCCAACATTGTTGCCAAAAATAATGTACGCAATAAGAACAAGAAAAAAATCTTTTGTCCAGTATTCCTACAAAATATCAATGTTGCGTCGTGTTAACTTTTATTATCTTGAATTTAACTGTTTTAGTCATTGTTTTCTAATATTTTATTATAATAAAAATAACGAACACTATAATTAAAGGGAGTTATAGGAATTTAAACTTTACGTAAGAACATCTAATAATAATTCTAATTATAAAAATCATCGGTTGCATCTAGCGCTAACATGTGATTCGTTTTTGGCAGAGGTGATCGAATGGGGCTTACAAAAAATGCAGCGGCAATGTTGCCAGTTTTCGTGTAAAGTAGGGGGTTTTCAATCTATCAACATCAACACCATATATATTTCTGTATTATACTTCATAGATGATTGATTACGGTTTTTACAGACTTTAGAAATTGCAGTAAAAACTACGGAGCGATCCAAACTGATTAAAATAGTAATACATTGTTATAGGATTATGGGATTAGTATTCAACAGTACATAAATGGCAACGTTATTTAGAGCTGTTTTACTTCCGGTTGTAGTAAGAACTGGGCAGCTATTGGAGCTGTCTACTTTGACTAGCTGGTTCTGAGTCAGCCAGGTTCTGAGCTGCCACCCCTTCAATTGGTACCGATGCTAAAATAAATTTTATTATCGGTCGAAAGATTTTATCAAATTTGTCAATTCGCTGACGTCTATTTTCCTTCTTATAAATCAAGAACTATATCTTCCGACTTTGATATTTGCGAAATCGACACATTTTTCAATGTAAAAAATTAAGTTCCTTAATAGAACTGTAGTGTTCATCGTGGAAAAGTAATACAGTATAACTCCAGTAGGGCAGATAACGTTCCGGCATACGCCTGGATTATCGAGGTGTCCGAATTACTGGAGCTACGTAAATTTATTTCTTTAGAAAATGAAAAAACCCAAAAATTGTCAAAAATAACGTTTATTAATAAAAATTATAGATAAATACTGGTCCCTATAAAAACCTGATTCCGTTGCAGCACAGTATAAACAGTTAATCGGTCTTTCGATCTTTTAATATGGATCTGATTTTTCATCTTCATGAACTCATCTGCATTGTGTACTTGTTCTTTACATATTGTCATATCTAGAACAGCAGATCTAAACTTTTTCCTGAAACGGAATCACGGCAGTGATATCACTGGTGTAACATTTCGGGCCACATTCGTCAATAAAATGTGCTTCGTACCCTAACTTGAGTTTATTTAGTAATACATAACTTGCTAAAAATTCTGTTTTCGTTTGTGAAATTTCTGATGAAATAGGTAATCATTTCGTTGTTGTATTAGCCAGTTGTACAGTGGTATAGTTTTCCAACGATTCAGGGAAGATTCCGACAGATAATATCGAAAAAAATGGCAGAAAATACAGTTTACCTGTGATTTAAAATTGTAACTGTCACGGATACCCCCATTGAATATACTGTAGTTCAAGTTTAGATTAACTTCTGAATTATGTTTATTTGCCTTTAAAACAATACGCCATCGATAATGGTATTCCTTATGTGTATGCCTTTGAAATTATTTTGATATAAAAGTCATTATTTTATCCCTTTTGTTTAATCCGACGTTTTACTACTCACTTCCAATTTACCACACTGTATATTACATATCATTTAACAGCATGTTTTCAAAATTTATATTAAAAGCACCTAACCTAGCTTATATTTTTTATTTATTTTGAGTTGCGTATTCCATAATTAAATTAGAAAGCCTTCAGATTAAATACAGTTATCTCTAGTATTCGGTTTTGAGTCTCCTCACTACTATGGAAAAAGTAATTTAAAATATTATAAATAATCATATTTATTTTTTGGCTTGGTTTGACATTAGCGATAACAGCTCATGTAATATATAGTCAAATTTCTTAAATTTATTGCCAATAAAATGAGCAAAATCAGAATAGCCATTTATTTCAATCATTTTTGATCGCTTCGTGTAAAATCTTGAATTATAGAAAAAATAAGGCTTCTAGAGAAAAAAATTTTGGTGAGCGTGGCAACATGGCATTGGCACTGTCCACGGCCTCCGCGATCCTTTGCATAATAGCGCTCGCGTCGCCTATGCATCTCTCCGCTTATTTTAGGCCCGGGTCGGGATGCTCAGCTGTTTTCCCATGTCGCCCTCCCCAGCCACTTTGATTTTTCCACCATGCGGATAACAATTACCAACCAGCGGTGAGTCAGTCTCAAGTCAGTTTTATCAGATTATTCATTCCGGTTAGACATGGAAGACAAAATCTACCTTAGAAATTTGTATATATGTATAAACTATTTTGAGTAGGCTGGTGCATGTCTTGTCTTTTATTAGTTCTATTTCGGGTGTTTTTGTGTTATTATAATTAGTTTTTTTGTGATTTTGTTTTTTTTTTCGTTATGTAAAAGCACTAATTACAATTGTTATAACCTGTTTTTTTTTACTAACTAAAATAGAGGCTTGTGTATTTTTAGATATTTTCAACACTTAATGTTCAATTTACGTAACGCAAACTAAAGGCAAGGTTAACTCAACCTTATTTTGTCCCCTTATTACATAAAATCCGATAATACAATTTGGGAATTGTACCAAAAAAACATAGACGTAACACTTATCGTGAGTCAAAAAAAATAAAAACAGGTTGATTTAAATTTGCGCGAACAATGTTGCCGCATGCTTCTTGATTTTCCCCTTTCTCACTTACTTTCTCTCTGTTACTTTTTAGGTTATTTACTGGCTTTCGGTGTTGGACGTTAGAGGGCGTATAGTATAAGCGACGCGGCGGGCCTCGTGCCAGTGGTGCGTTTGCACATGCGTGTTTGTAACCTGTAAATGCACTATCTGGTACGACAGCCCGTCGCTGTCTAGACTGCTTGCAGTGTTGTCAGACGTAGTTGTTGTTTTTGAGGGCGCGCACGGCACTGTATTTTTAGTTTTCTTATTTTTATTATTGAAAATGTTTGTTGGGCCTTATTTTTTTCTTTTTTATATAATTTATTTGTATTACATTTACTGTTATGATATTTATATCTAGTTTTAGATTTATTGTAATTATAGTTATTATAAGAATTGTTAATAAAGAATGCATTGTTTAATTTTGTTTCTTTATTACGTAATATGAAAATGTCGATAAAAATCACAATAAATATCGATTTTTGAAATAGGATGTGCTGAACAATTATTAACGAAGTTGTTAAAAATCTGTATTGATTTTAGTAAGTAAATTTTGAACTGCACATTATTGAAAAATACTTCCAATTAAACTACCTAAGTCAATAATTTGCTGTATTAGAGTTTTGAAAAAGCTTTAAATGTGTAGAAATTTTAATATAAATATGTCATAATTCAAGTGCTCAATATAAAATATGGTATTTTGGGGTAAAAAATATACTACATTCCATTTGAATTACTACATCTTTAGTGTAAATATATATTTTAATTACCCTGTACAGGGTGTTCTTCAACGACATGCTAATATTTAAGGGGGTGATTCTTGGTCCTAATCTAAGAGAAAAACTTCATATGAATGTATGTTCTAAACATCATAATTTCTGAGATACAAGATGGTAAAGTTTTCTAAAAAAAACTTTTTTTCACAATAACTCTGATTTCATTATAGATATTTTTATGAAACTTACTTAATAACACGTTTCTATGCATCAAAATACCTTTTTTGGTTTACAAAGAATTATATATATATATATTATTATATTATATTGTATTTATTTCAACCAGTGCCGTCGTCCATATGGGTTTTATATTGAATATTTTTGGAGAAAAAAGTGGTACACCCCCACTGACACTTCTTAAGATAAAAATTATCTTCAAAATCTCCATTCGTTTCTAAATATTTTTATCTCTTGATTTTTTAGTCCAACGCATAGTTTTTGCTTAAAAAATTAAAATCAGTTTATTTCAGTGTCAGTTGTATATCAAAATATGCATTTTGATGCATGGAAGACGTGTACTTATCAAATATAATATTAGAGATATTTTGAAAAAAAAAATAGAAAATTTTACCACCCTGTATCTGAAAAGTTAAGATGTTTAGGACATATATTCATATGAAGTTTTTTTTCTTAGAATAGGTCCAAGAATCGCCTCATTAAATATTAGCCTGTCATTAAGGAACACCCTGTATATTATGTAAAGAAAAATATTTTCAAAATGCGTGCTACTACGTGTATTTTACCAAAAAAACTATAGCAGTGAAAATTTCAACGCAATATAAAAGTTTTTCCCTGTCGGTTCCCTTTCTGGGGCCACTCTACATATTCTACAGATGATAATTGTATAACGATGCGTACGGTGGCAGTGTGGTTAGCTGGTTGTGTCATTTACCCACGACCACTATCCATACTTCCGTCGCGTGTATCGTTGAAGCGACCTCTACCAGTGCTTCCGTCAACTTAAAACTAACTCTAAATAATGTCCAAAGAAAATTATATTACTATTCAAAAACTACATCAAGAAAACCGATATTCGTATTATTTTTAATTTAATAAGAAGCCTATACCATTATTATACAATCAACTTTTTCTGCTATGATCCTATGCTTAAGGTTGAATTTAAAGCTGGGTGTTCACGGGTCAATATCGAAAATGTAAACACAGTTTCGGATTGCCGAAATAGCCGAGGTATCTATGTTGCTTCTTTTATTTGAAAGAGTGGTGTTGGGGAGTATTGGAGAATTGTTTTCGCCATTTTGTACCAACTTTTTAATCGATTGAGTCACAAATGCAACACAAATCGACCCGTGAACATGCGGCTTAAACTGTTCCTACACGATGCTACAAACGTTGGAGGCATCATTTGGCATAGGCTTCGACAATATTGCAATTCCCAAGTGTGTCTCCTTCACGATGTGACAAATGTTCATATGTCCAATGTTGGAAGGTGTTTGAGACATCGTGTGGGACCGACTTTAAACAAGTACAGGAAATATCTTTAGGATTCAATGTAATCTCAGTTTTATACTGTATTATCGAAAAAAAACGGCGTCCAGTTGGCTTGGAAAACCAAACAACCAACCATGGATATGTATATCTGTTACGCTCAATAGTCGAATTCTAAAAATACGCAAATCTAGTTTTGAGCAAGGAATATTTCCCAAACCCGAAAAACCAACTAACTAATGAATTAAGACCCTCCAAATAACCACGCTAACCAACTCGCCAAATAACTAAACCAATCCAACCAAAAAGAGTGAAACCAATGCAATCAAATAACACTATAAGCAAAAAAAATAATCGAATAAAATTATTTTTTTGGGTTGGGAAATATTCCTTGCTCAAAACTAGATTTGCGTATTTTTCTCGGGCATTGCCGGAATTCGACTATTGAGCGTAATATATCTGTTACGGTTAAGGTCCGATGTCCAGTTAATGTCGAAATTACCCGGTTAATCTCGAGAATAACACACAACAAATGCTGTCCTCCTTTCACGCAGTTAAGCAGCTCTGAACTGTTCTAGAACGCGATACTCTCACTCCATTCAGTTGAGTCATAAAGTTCCAGAACTGTTCCGCGCCATATGGAGGCACCAAGCTATCGCGCACCGCTCCTTTCAGAACAGTTCTCGAGTAGCCCCAGGGCGTAAAGCCCGGAACTCGAAGTTCGCGAATGGAGGACAGCAAAACCCACCAAAAACATAACCTCACCCAAACATTAACATGTTGATGTCGACATTAACCGGACATCGGACTTTAACCGTAACATATCCATAGAATTTGCAGATGTGTATTCTATGGATATACATATCCATAAAATATGCGTCTGTATATCCTATGGATACACATATCCATGCTTGGCTGTTAGCGAATGACGGCACAACGATCTTAATTTTGGCACAACGATCTTCATTTTATAGCTATCGCTGACTCCTTTTTTCCAATCATACTGTACTTGTAAACTCGTTAACACATTAACTTTTTATTTATCTCTTAAATAAACCCCACATTATACCGGAGGATTGGAAAAAAACAGCGTCCAGTTGGCTTGGAAATTACTATCCCCATCTCATTCTCCATATAATTTTATATATAAAATGACAGCGATCTTCATTTCATAGCCATCGCTGACACCGTTTTTTTTTCGATCATATTGTACCTTCTATAGTAATCATAGTAATTTTTTTATACGATTTTGATATTATTTATATTTTTAGGGCCGCCTATGTATCGTTTGGGGGACTTCTGATGAGACTACAAGGAGATGCTAACAATCTACATAGTTTTGAGGTGGATCAACACATGTATTTACTTATGAAGAAGATTTTTATGTAATGATGAAAAGAAAACAATGCCTTCCAATTTTTAAGAATATTGTGTTCACTAGAAGTTTAAGATTTTATACATATGCAAATGAAACTATTTATAATTAAATAACCTTTGGTACAATAGAAATATAGTGTTTTTTTTGTTAATGAATACAATAATAAGTTCCCGAGAGTACATAGGACAAAAAAAATAGAGAGCATTTTATTCTATACATATACAAAATCTAGAAAAGACTAGTGTAAAAGAAATGTAACATGTTATTTTACATATTAATAAAAAATCTAATCACAGATAAAAAATGTTATCTGTGGTATAATACACATTAGATCTTATTGAAACTCCTCATGATAAAGTAATTTCTGTGTACTTCTGGTGTGATATCCACTGCCAAACTGATCAGCTCCTTAATTACCTAAAAAATTAACTTTATTCTCTGAATCTACAGGGTTGCCCGAACTGTATTCCGGAAACTTCGGCAGCATATTTTGCTGACAAAAATAAGTAAAAAAGTTGGTATAAATGGTTGCCTAAAATGCTTAATTTCGGAGATACAGGGTGTAGAAGTATTTTTATTTCGATTTTTTGCAAATAATTTCTGAAGCAATGGATAAAAATTTGTGTCTGGGGGTTTACTGACATGAGAAATTTAATTTTGATGTCAATATGATGTGTTTTAATTGTTTTGAAGAGTAATAACTTTTCGTTCGTACCTGTAAAACTACTAATTGAAGAAATATACATTTCCGTCATTTTCTACGTAGAAAATGTTTCTTGGTAAAAATCGCTACCGTTCTCAAGATATTTAGAATGGATATAGTCACTAACATCATTATTGACTAAAAATAAACATGTTGAGTAGATAGCAATACTTAAAATAATTTTATTTTATGTCTATGGTAGATAGTGACTGAAATGATTAATTTGGATACTTTTTATTTTTTTAAATTAATCATAAATTTTTCATCAAAAATTTGAAGATAAAACAGTTTCTGTTGGACTTTTGGTTCAAAAACATTTCAAATTTATTATTTCAGTCTAATAACTATTTAGTCCACATGTTTAATTTATATCAGTGACAGGGCCGGATCTACCTAAGGGCTGTTTGGGCTGCAGCCCAGGGCCCCGAAGTTACAAGGGGCCCCCAGACCCCGCTAAAAACAATAGACCCATAGGTGGGAACTGTTGAATCGTGAAATAAAATTAAAATTCACGTTAAAAAGTTTAAGCCAGACCAGATGGTTTTGCCACTATGATGCTGTCAAAGCCTTAAAAATAATTATGATGACATTATAAAAATGTTCGAAAGTTTCAGCGAAAATGAGATTGAGAAAGTTGATTTCCGGAAAGAGGCACGAAATTTATTCAATAAAATGGCGAAACTCGAGACTGCAATTTTGATTATCTTTTGGGAAGGACTTCTGCAGAGATTTCATTTAGTTAATAAAAAAATACGCCTGGTTTAGACATTTGTGAAGGCAACAAGTTAATTGTGTCATTAAAAGACTTTGTGAACAACATACGATACCGATCAGATCAAAAGCTAAAGGAATACGAAGAGAAAGCTAAAAATTAAGTACTAGTGTGGGGATAGACTACAATGACGTAAACAAGAGACGCATTATTCCAAAATTTTCAGATAAGTCTACAGGTGAATTCTCAGTATATGGCGCAGAAAGAAGAAAGATTTAAAAGAGACGCGTTAAACGTTACGTTGGATAAGCTGATTATGGATTTAAATAAAAGGAGCCAAGTCTATGAGACAAATATAGCAAAAAATTCAAATTTTTCATGGATTTGCAAGACAAAAATATCGAAAACATAGATTTGGAAATTGCACGTCATATTATTGATTACTATCCGGATGACGTAGACGAGCATTTAGTGAATGAGTGCATTCAATTAAAATCGTACTGACTCCAATCTAAGCCAGAGTCTTACACCTCTTGCAGTGACATTTTTATGCTCATGTATGAAAATAAACTTATTGACGTGTTCCCTCACTGCTATACCATTTTAAAGATTTTTTTATCATTGCCAATCACTAGCTGTGAAGCAAAACGCTCCTTCTCCAAGATGTCCTATGTAGAAAATAAATATAGGACAACAATGTCGAACCATCGACTAAATAATTTATCACTTCTTTCCATAAACTGTGATCTAACAAAAGACTTGCAATGTGATGGCCAAATAACTGTCAATTTCTGTGACTGCAACCTATCAATTTCTTTTACTAATTAATAATAAATAAATAAAATTGTTTTATTGTTTTTTTTTGTATTCTTATATAATATCACTATTTCGGTTTCTCTCTCACCCAAAGGTTGCCTGGAAGAGATTGCTACCACAGCAATAAGTCGCCTTTTGTACAACTAATACTTGCGTAGATTTAAGTAACATTTATGTTTTTTTTTGTGCAATAAAGAATATATAATAATAATATATCATTATAGAAACAGTTTTTTGACATGGCTATTAGTTGAGTACTTAGGTAGGCCCCTAAGTAGTTTCAGCCCAGGGCCCCACAAATTCACGATCCGCCCCTGATCAGTGATGACCTTAGATTAAGAATAAAAGTGATAACAGGTATTGATAACGATGATTCTTGAAATATCTTAAGAACCATTACTCGTCACGATTTTGACCAAGCGACGTTTTTTACGTAGAAAATGTCGTAAATGTATATTTTTTTGCTCACTGGTTTTATGCAGGTATGGACGAAAAGTTATTATTCTTCGAACCAGTTAAAAAATAAAATCGAAATAAAAATGAAACTTGTACACCCTGTATCTCCGAAACTGAGCATTTTAGGACAAATGTACATTTATACGAACGTTTTTACTTATCTTATCTGCAGAATATGCTGCCAAAAATTCCGGAATACAGTTCAGACCACCCTGTATATTTTTAAAATTTTACCTGGTCCTTATTATCTTGTACCAGTTTTTCCATGTTCTGAAGATACACTTGCGTGTCTTTATCGATTCTCGCGGCTACATCCTCTTTAGAGCCCATATGACGGGCCTCGTATTCTCTAAATTGGCGTTCCCTTTCATTACGGTAAGCCTCAATTTCCGCTTGAGCCTCATCTCGAGCTTGCTTGATACGCTTCACTTTACCTAAAATAGTTTAAACAATAAATAATTACTTCAGACAGAAATACAAAGTGATAAAAAAAAACGGCGTCAATGATGAAATGAAAAACAGCGTCAAAGCTATGAAATGAAGATCGCTGTCATTTTACGTGTAAAATTATATCGTTATTTCGTTATTTCAAAGCCGTTTTTTCTCCATCATACGGTATTTAAACTAAGTTATACTGTTCTGAGACCAAACACTTGTATAGTTGGTTGTCTATAATTAAAGAATTTGCTTATATTTTTACTCTTCTAAACAGTACAGATCAAAAGTTATGTTCTGTATACTAAAATAAATTAACTGCGATCATAATTTGTCATCGTATATGGCGCGTTTTTGCAATTAAGTGCACAAATATTGCATTTTAATTGTTATTTAATAGAGACATATTTGTCCTGTTTACATTTAGAAAAACTGCCTGGTTGTCTGAAAGATACATATATATTACCCTTGATATTGCGTAATATTATTAGGAAAAAACCGAAATTTTGACAATAAAAAATGTATTATAAAATATATATTAATTTAGAAATTGTTATTGGTATATTTAATGTCAATTTTGAATTGTTTTTGTAGCATGATGCGCAAAATTGATGCATTCCTTCAGAATATTTGAAATGGTGCGCATTAGTAAATATACAAATATATAATATAATAGAATTTTAAAATAATTATAATAGTATATTTTGACAAACTTTATGCGAATGAAATATTTTTATTTCCAATTTTTCAAATATCCTTAAATCAATATTCTTTATTATGTTATTAAAATATACTAAAACTCAGGTGTGCTGTTATACCCCACATTAGATAGTTTAAAAATAAGTTCAAAATATACTTATTTATAAATATATCGGCGACATATGAAAACACACGACTGAAATCTATAATTAACTGCTCTAATGGTCTTACGTTTAAAAAACTTACGTTTTCTAGCTTCCGCAACTTTTTCAGCGGCTCTTTTTTCAGCAGCCAACAATTGCTGGATGCCTTGTGTCTGATGGCTGGCCATTTTTTCGAATAAACTTTTTAGGAACGCTAATTTTTGACGCGGAAATGCCAATATAACTTATAACAGCCATTCAATTGGTAAATTGGAAGCGTATGGAGGGGGATTTGGCGCCATAAGGTTTAAAATATTTAAAATGGGTATCTTTAGTTGCATAACACACGGTTTTAAAACATGCTTATTAGGTTGCCTAACTATGATTCGCTATAGCTATAGACTAGGCACAGGATTACAAGGTATCTCATATCTCATTATTCTTTGTTTTTATTAACACTATTTTATCACATTATTTGTTTATTTATTTGTGTACTTACAAATGATCATAATATACTAAAAAACTACATACATATTTGGAACAAGTAATACTAGCATTACTTTAGATTTGACTTATGAATTATTAAAAGTATGTGCTATTGTAGATTTATTCTTTGAGTAGCTGATGTCTCAAGACGATGAATGGGGCCCCAAGTCCAGAACCAAAAAACAGAATAAAATAGGCCGTCAATTTGTAACGGTTGTTGATGGAAAAAGGCAAATTCTGAAAAAAAAAGCAGTGATTAATTTTTAGATTTCGAAGTATCAGAACTTTAAAAAAATTCTAAAAAACAGCTATATACTTTCAGATCATAACATAAATTCTGTTCTTTTAAAATATAACTAAATTACTATGAGAAAATATTTTTTTTTTTAGATTTCGAAGTATCAGAACTTTAAAAAAATTCTAAAAAATAACTATATACTTTCAGATCATAACATAAATTCTGTTCTTTTAAAATATAACTAAATTACCATGAGAAAATCATTTATAATATCATGCTCCAAATACACATTATGTAATAATTTTTACCTCTCCGGGAATACCTCCATCACTGTGATTTCTCACAAAGTTGGTTAGTGCCCTTCTAGCAAACAAACTACTTCTTCCAATCATTTTTAAATCACTATAAATTTAGAAAAAAAAACTAGGAAATTCAAAATTACCCTTTAAAAAATGGGTTCACGATGGGTTTTCAATAAAATTGACGTTTGACAGTTTGACATATGATACATAAAAACAGAAGTGTCTAGTAGTGATGGGAATAATCGAATTATTTTCACCATCGAATAATTAGTAATAATTCATATTTCACAATCGAATTAATAATTCGAATTATTTAGTAGTATTATAAATTTAACCTAAAAATAAATTCGGTAAAGGTGTGGATCCGGTGGCTGACCTTGAAGCCCATATTTGCTGCATTTGATCATCGATACTACGCAAGCGCACATCGTCGATGTTGCCAAATTGCAGTTTATTTTCGAATTATTTGTAGTTGAAAAAAATTTTTTTTTAGTGTTAATCAATAATAATACAAATTATATAATTAATTTTATAATTTCAGATTTAACTTTATATCCAAAATTAAGGTAAGAAGGATAATGAAGATTGTTAAATTAAAGTATTATGAAAAATTATCATTTACGGATTTTTTCTTAATGGTTTTAAACTTATTAGAATTATTTTATTTCTTTCAAGTTATTTGATTTCTAGTTATTTACAGGCAACAATATGTATTGATGTTTTGAAATACTACCATGACGAGTCTTATAGAACAATACACGTCAATGGGAGATAGAGGTAACATTTTACCTATAATGTTACTAATATAATATACTTTGATTATAATGTTTGTATCATAATTTCTTAGAAATATCAAGTTAGTGGATTAATAGCAGTTTTAGACATTTATTTTATCAAAGAGTGTGTTGATAAGACTAAAATAAGCTTTATGTTTTATCTTTTTCTCTTTAGAAGGGAGATGGTTTGTGTCGTACAATACATTACAGTATTTAATATTGTGTACTTTGATATTCTTTTCTTAATTTACTGTAATTTCTTGTTTCCTATAATGCCAAATCTTGACAATATGGTGAAGGTTGAGTTTTGATCTTATTAGTTTTATACCTGTGTTTATACAAGACCAAATTAAGATTTAGTTTGTGATTTTTTTATATTAAGATCTTTCTTATAATATTTGTTATGTCTTAATCTTAATACCGTATGATCGAATAAAAACGGCGTCAACGATGGCTATGAAATGAAGATCGCTGTCATTTTATATATAAAATTATATGGGAAATGTCATCGATCGTCATTTCTAAGCCAATTGGACGCTGTTTTTTTTCGATCATACGGTACTATATTATGCTTTGTCTGGAAAATAAATGTTAAAATATCTTAATTTTGCATATCCTATTCCATCCTTCCATTAGGAAGAATATGGTTTATAAATCATATTTTGCTAAGAAAATCACATAAATTAGGTGTAAGAATAGAGAGATCTTAAGGTAGCAGAAAAAATAATGCAATATATGTATAAGCAGAATTAAACAAGGTAACTGTTAATGTTGCTGAAGCCGATTCTACAATTTTAATTATGGAGGCTAAAAGATTTTTTAAGGCCTCCGTAGTTTTGATGGAATGTAAAAAAAACTATTATGAACATAATATCTATCATGGAGCTACAGCATTTAAAAATTAAAAAAAAGAAAAAACTTGGACATATCCCTTTTAATTTCCCGAATTTTTAAAAAAAGTACTTTTTAAACGTAGCATAATAATCTAGAGCAATTAGATTAATTATAGGAATCTAGAGTTTTATTTCTATTTAATTTTATTGACTATGAAAATACATAATATAAGCGTTTACGTGTTGTGCAAAATATTAAAATAATAATATAAATAATATACCGCGTACTATGATTGAAAAAAAATAGCGTCAGCGATGACTTGAAATGAAGATCGATGTCATTTTATATGGGAAATGTCCTCAATCGTCATTTCCCAGTCAACTGGACGCCGTTTTTTCGATCATACGGTATATATTGACAAAAAACACTGAAAAGCACATATTTATTTTCTACTGAAAATAATTCCAAAATAACTTGCAATCTGGCAACATCGAAGATGTGCGCATGCGTAGTGTCTGTGACTATATGTAGCAAAAACTCGTTTCAAGGTCAGCCACCGGATCCACACCATTACCAAAATATCTAATTATAACTTGTAAATTTTAATATTTTAACATGATTTTAACTACTTTTGAGAATAACTAACTGTTTGTCATCAAGATGACATTTTAGACGGCAACTGACATATATGTCATAATATTTGAATCTTAAATATGTATGTAATATAATTTAAATTACTATAATGCAACTTTATACTAAGAAAACATTTATACATTCACAAAATACAACAAAGTCTAATAATATAGTTTGAAAACAATGAATATTGAATTAAAATTGAAAAAGTTAAGCACGCCTCCTTCTGTCAAAATTAGATAATTAAATTTTCGCAATTTTTACACCATTTGATGACCGGTGGCGCCTCTAGTGTTTGTTCGGGCGGTTGGTCTTTTACTCCCGCTTATGGCCATTAAAGAAAAAGTTCTAAAGGGGGATGTTTTGTGAACATACACTTAACTTTTTAAATCATAGAGGGCGACACCTAACCTGAAAATTTATTTTTATTTTGAATATTTATGGAGATTCTTAACATTTTTTATATTTTTTTAATAACATTTAGAAATTAAAGAGTATTTTCTGTCACAGATAAGCAAATATTTATATAAAAAATCATGTAGACATATGCTGGTAATAATAATTGTATTGTTATTTCTTTATGTTGTAAAATGATATTTCGTAATGAATATTGATAAAGATAAAAATTACAATAGAATGTAGTCAGAAAAATAAGCAGTATTTATAAAGATGTTGTACAGGCATGAGTTTATTTCAAGGAACATTATGATTTTAAATTTAGTTCGCAAATATTCAGTAGATGTTATTAAAAGTAATGTTGATCTTCACTCGCCAAAGTTTCTTGTAAGTTTTTTTTAAACAGTTTGATTTTGATTTAATATTGTAATTGTTTTAAAGGAAAATTATAATTCTATGACAAATCTACTCAGTACCCTTCAAAAAAAGACTGGATCTGTTTTACAAGGGGGTGGAAAAAAGGCAGTCTCAAAGCATACAGGAAAAGGCAAACTATTTGTTCGTGATAGAATAAATCTTCTTTTAGATAAGAACACAGCATTTTTAGAACTATCTGCACTCGCTGCAAATGATATGTACAATGCAAACATTACTTCAGCAGGTATAGTTACAGGAATAGGTAAAGTCCAAGGGTATAGACACTTTTTTTTAAATATTCAGTATTTTTATAATTTGGTTTGTAGACATGAATGCATGATAGTGGCAAATGATGCAACAGTCAAAGGAGGAACTTATTATCCTATATCAGTTAAAAAACATTTAAGAGCTCAGGAAATAGCTCAGCAAAATAACTTACCCTGTATATACTTGGTTGATAGTGGAGGAGCGAACTTACCACACCAGTCAGAAGTCTTTCCTGATAGAGATCATTTTGGAAGGATTTTTTTTAATCAAGCTCTAATGTCATCTCAAGGAATACCACAGGTATAAGGAAATGTTAATAAAATAATTCATTTATAAAAAAATTAATGAAAAATAATATAAATTAGATTGCAGTAGTTATGGGACTTTGTACTGCCGGAGGGGCTTATGTTCCTGCAATGGCTGACGAATCTATAATTGTGAGAAATCAAGGAACAATTTTTTTGGCTGGACCCCCATTAGTGAAAGCTGCAACTGGGGAACAGGTTATTACCAGACAATTTTTCTTTTAAAAAAAATATTTTACTTAATTTTTTAGGTTTCAGCTGAAGAATTAGGAGGTGCTGCTTTGCACTGTTCTGTATCTGGTGTAACCGATCACTATGCAGTGAATGATAATCATGCAATAGAAATAGCCAGATCCATAATTAAAAATTTAAACAAGAAGCCTATCAATTCATTTTCAAGTAATTTTAACTCGCCTTTGTATAGTGCTGAAGAGTTGTACGGAATTATAGATCTGGATATTACGAAACTTTTTGATATTAGAGAAGTTATAGCCAGGTAATATACTTATTTTGCTTATTTATGTCAGAATTCCTCTATGGTTTCCTAGGGGTAAACGGCTGACAAATTTCTGTACACTAATACCACGAATAATGCCAAAAATGCCAACTAATACCACTAATACCAAATTATGCCAACATCTTGTACACCAAAATATGCCAGCGGTTTACTCCTTGATGGTTTCGTATTTCTCTACACAATATCATATTTATTGAAATTATTTTTTTAGAATATTTGATGGTTCTGAATTTGATGAGTTTAAAAAAAAATATGGTGAAACTCTTGTATGTGGTTTTTCTAAACTTTATGGTAAAACAGTGGGAATTATTGGTAATAATGGAGTCCTGTTCTCAGAAAGTGCCTTGAAAGGGGCTCATTTTATACAGTTGTGTTGTCAGAGACGTGTTCCTATAATATTTCTTCAAAACATCACTGGTTTCATGGTAGGAAAACAAGCAGAAACTGGTGGTATAGCAAAAAATGGAGCAAAGCTGGTCACTGCTGTTGCTTGTGCTGTAGTTCCTAAAATTACTCTTATTATTGGAGGTTCATATGGCGCAGGAAATTATGGTTAAAGAGAATTATACTAAATTTCTTCAATCTTATCTAAAAATTATTTATGTAGGTATGTGTGGCAGGGCCTATTCCCCAAGATTTTTGTATATGTGGCCAAATGCTAAAATCTCAGTCATGGGTGGTCCTCAAGCAGCTGGAGTTTTGTCTCAAGTAGCAAGTAATAACAAAAATTGGACCACAGAAGAAAAAGAACAATTTGAAACACCAATTATTGAGCAGTTTGATCAAGAAGGATCTCCTTATTTTAGTACAGCCAGGTAAATAGCAATTTTATTTCAAATATACCTATGAGTTTATTTCAGTTTATACATATTATTATATGTATCAAGTATTATAGTATTACAGTTTTTAACTGTTTCAGAATATGGGATGATGGTGTAATTGACCCAAAAGACAGCAGAAAAATCCTAGGACTTAGTTTGGCTGCAGCTTTAAACAATAAGATTAACAAAACTGAATTTGGTATTTTCCGAATGTAGATATTTAAACAAACATAAATTTCATAACTTGTTTATATTCTTTTTACATATTATTATTAAATATATCGGTATACCAATATATCTAGCAATATGCCATATTTTCAATATAATTATGGTTTACCTACCCACAGTTCCATATACCGTAGTGTCCCTTTTTTCAATAAATCTAAGCTGTTTTTTCTTCATTCTCTTCAGTTTTGTTGTATTTGTTATCACTTGTACCACTTCCGATTTTCTGCGATTTTCCTCCTGCCTCTTTAAATTTTCTCTTCTCCTCTCCTTTTTAAGTTCTTTCTCTTCTTGTTTTTTAGCTATGAGTTCTTTCGTCACCTGTTTTATTTGTTTGAGCTTCTCTCTTAATGCTTCCTTTTTCTCAAAAGAATTTTTCAGACCTTTTGTTTTAATTGATGTGGAAAATTTCTTTCTCTCCGATTTCCAGAATCTTCCAGACTTTGGTTTTCCCTTTATAACAGTCTCTTTTTTAGATTTTCTATAATTAAATACAAATATTCCACATAAATCAAAATTACAATATATTGTATAAAAACATACTTATTCCCAGCTCTTGTTTGTGTATTTTCTTTTACTTGTGTTTCTTTCATATTGTCTGCGTCATTATTTGAGTGCTTCAAGATATCTTCCATACAAAAAATTAAATTGTTGCTTTCATTCTCATTTACCATTTTTACAAAAACTACAATTGTTTTAAGAAATCAATGAAACATGTGCGTAGCTACAATTTCTTTTTAAGTAGTTTGAAACATGTTTGAAACACAGGTTTGAAATTTAAAATGTTTGAAAATAATAGTGCGTGTTAATAACATAACACATAACCTCAAATTCAGGATTGCCAACATGCCAACTCACTAGTCATTAGCGTCTAAGTCCCACTAGTCTACTCAGGCACCTAACCATGTTGCCAAGTACTAGGTCTTAATTTTCACAATATTCAAAGTGAACGTTAAGTCAAATCATCTAGAAATATTGTGCGGCGTTCAGGGAATACAGCGGCTAACCAACCGCCGAGTATTTTGCTCAGCGGCTGACTGTTTTTGCATGTAAAAAGAGACCGTTTAGGGAAACCGCTTACTCAGCTGCTGACCGTCCATGAACGCGCCCATTTTTACTATTTTTTGGGACAACAAACAGCAACATTCCGGTTCCTTAAACGGTCTCTTTTTACATACAAAAACAGTCAGCGTATTTGTGTTTTGTGAGTCAGCCGCCGAGCAAAAGTCTCAGCGGTCAGTCAGCCGCTGTGTTCCCTGAACGCGTACATCAGCGTACATTTACCATCACTAGACGCTTGTCGATTACTCCCGATACTCCCGATTAGTTATTCTATGCTCCCGATTTTTGACGTCCACTCCGTGCAGCCAATCCAGGGCCAATCTCACGCATTTCTCTCGAATCTGGCACCACTGTGACATTTATTTTTCATCCAGTATGTCAATTCAATGTCAGAATGTCATCTAGTATTAAAAATAATAATTATAATTATCAATAATGTATGAATAATGTTTACATCTATGATTATAAACAAGCCATGAAATGATAAACGTGGATAAATTATGTAGCTAATTATCATTAAATTATTTAAACGATTATTTATTATAAATTAGAGTTCTTTAAGAATGTTAATAAACCGTATTAATATAATAGTGACTACTGCTACTAAGCACGCATTTCGCAAATCTGTTGCAAACAAGAATTTTAACTTTCACAATTTTTTTCCTAGCATTCGCTGTTTGTCATTGACTCCTTTGCAGTGGTCTGTTGGGAAAGGCATGAATAAAATGGTAAGATACTCTTTGCGGTTTTTATTCATGATAAAAAGTAGGTGGGACCACCTTAATTGATTTTTCACTCAACAAGTGTCTTAGTTATTGCCTGTTATTGTATTCTACACATATTTTTTTAATGATCTGCTACATGTATTTGTTATAACTTTTTATAGAGCAGTTTTTGTTTGAAAATAAACTTATTTTTCTCTAAAAATGGTAATAAACTATCTGAATATTAATAATAACATTAATTTACTATATTTTTAGTCTGATAAACTAACACAAGAAGATAGAAGTACTAGCTTAGCAACCCTCTTAAGCAAAGGATGGGTCGTACAATCTGACAGAGATGCCATTTACAAAGAATTCACCTTTAAGGACTTCAACCAGGCGTTTGGGTTCATGACAAGAATTGCCCTTAAAGCTGACAAAATGGATCACCACCCTGAATGGTTCAATGTGTACAATAAGGTGAATATTACTCTCAGTTCGCATGATGTGAATGGACTAAGTAAAAGAGATGTAAAATTGGGAAACTTCATTGAAGAAGCTGCAGGAACTAAATAAAATATGTTTATATTGTTATTCTATATCAATCCAAATATAAATTTTTATTATAGGTATATGCTTATAAAATAAAATATGACATTTATCAAGTAAATCTAAGAATATAGTAGAGAACCGCAATTATATTTAAATTCATCTTTATCCGGAAAATTTTCAAAAGAAACAATCTTATATTTAGAATTTAGCAGATCTCTCAGTTGTACACTGTGGGCATAGTCTCTGGTTTCACACACAACTTTTACCTAAAATGTCTTTTAAAGAAATATGTCTATTTAATTTATGTTATTTTACCTCAACGCTAAATACATCTGATGCCACCCATGCCCTTTCATGAATCACATCTTTTATTGAGACTCCAATTGATCCAAAAAGTTTACAGAGTTCTAAAATTCCACCTGGTCTATCACTGACAGTTACTCTACATTTTATCAGACGACCATCGGCAGCTAACCCTCTTTCTAGACATCTTCCTAGGATTGTTGTGTCAATATTACCACCACTTAGAATAAGAACAACTCTGAAAAAATATTCCATATTTACTTCTTTCTCTGGTAGGTTTAAAACAAAATGTTACCTCTTTCCTTTGAATTCTTCCATTTGACCAGCTAAAATGGCAGCCAATCCACAAGCGCCAGCTCCTTCAACAACGCATTTTTCGTTTTCTATGAACCTTAAAATCGCCAGAGCTATCCATTCTTCTTTAACCACGATCATTTTATCAATATGATTTCTGGAAGTCTCCCAAGCGTTGAAACCTACCTCAGGAACCGCCAGGCCATCTGCCAAGGTACCTTCTATGGGTGTGAATACTGGACCGTTGTTTTCCATGGCTTTAGAATAACTTGCACATCTTTCAGATTCAACTCCCTAAAAAAATTGTATTAAGAGTCTATTAAGCTGTACTGTTCGGGTCGCTCTCAGGGGCTGGATAAAGCGGGTGTGTGGCCGAACGAAATATATATTATATTTCAGAAATCTGCCTAAGGCTTAGCACGATCCTGTGTGTTAAGCCACAGCCAAAATTCCAAACACGTGCTTTGATTAACGCTTGATTAAGGTTTGCAGAGCTTCAGCATTTGCCATAAAATAGCAAGGAATTTGTTACAAAACCGTATAAATTATATATCACTTTAATCACAAAACTTCAATCTATTTCCGTATTGTAACGGAATTTTAAATTATGTCTTTATTTTCGAGAAAATTTAGTTCAAACATAAGGAATATTTTGTTGGCGTTTGACCATCAAAATCTTAAAAATAAAGAAGTTGTCTAAAAATGTGCTACAATACGGATATAGTATAATCCTTTATCTATAATTTTCTTCTTCATTTGTGTAAAAATACCTAGCCAGTTTTAAATAAAACGTTAAATGCCGAATGCTTATTTTGCTACTTTTTCGGACTAGTGAAATGGACTCTTAAGTTCTGTACCAAGATCTTATAGGAAAACGTTATACTTACAATTATTTTTATGTTAGGGTTTAACATTTTTACAGCTACAGAAACTCCTGCTAGTAAGCCTCCACCTCCTGTAGGTACAACAATGGCGTCTATGTTCTGAACTTGTTCCATAATTTCCAAAGCTATAGTTCCCTGACCTGCGATTATATGGGGATGGTCATACCCATTTATATAAGTCAAACTCTTCTCTCTTGACATTTTATAAGCAATTTTTTTAGCTTCGGCCATATCATTTCCTTCGATTACAACGTTTGCGTGATATTCTCGGCATTTTTGAATTTTCATTATGGGAGCGATCAAAGGCATAACCACTGTAACTGGGATACCGAGTTGATATCCGTGGTAGCACACTGCTTGGGCGTGATTGCCCAGAGAAGCTGCTATGACGCCCCTTTTGCGCTCGTCTTCGTTGAGCATCACCATAGCATACCTGGCGCCCCTCTCTTTAAAACTAAAAAACGCTCTTTTATTATGTTTTATTTTTCCCTAATTATGTTTTTTTACCTGCCAGTATGCTGTAGAAAGTCCTTTTTCAAAAAAATACTCATATTCGTGAGGTCTGATAAATGGGATTTCTAAAAACACTATATTATACCGTATGATCGAAAAAAACGGCGTCCAGTTGGCTGGGAAATGACTATCGATGAGATTTCCCATATAAAATGACAGCGATGTTTATTTCATAGTCATCGCTGACGCCGTTTTTTTTTCGATCATACGGTATTATCAAAGATAACAGGGTGTAAAAATTAAGAAGATTAACAACATAACAACCATGCAATGATGTTTTTGGAGTTTGTTGCAAAAAAATACAGGATGTCTGTTAAGAGTGTTAAATTGTTGTGAACATACATTTAATATGGTTATATGTATATGTATATTCGACAAATTGTATAAAATATTATTTTTACCCTTATTCTACGGCTATGCCTAAAGAATTTAAGGTACGAAAAATACCATCAACATTATTATTCTTCTCAGAAAGATGGGTGATGCAAATAAACAGAACCATTACCTTAAGATGAAATTTGGAAGAAATAGTCATAAATAGTTGCATCATTTTTAGTTTTCCTTTGTAATTCGTTTACTTTCAGACGCGATGTCTGGTTTCTATTTACTTAAGAAATGGTCATGTTTGTCCCTTTGCAAACCTACCTGAAAATATTATTAAGAAATAGTAGGTACGCCCGTGGATTTTCGGAGAGGCATTCTCATAAAAAGCACGGTCACAGAAGGGACCGGGAACATTCATAAAAATTTTTCATAGACGTAATACTGCTAAATTTATATTTTGTATTAAAAGTTTAAAAATAAAAAGTAATAACAACTTAGTAAGAATTTAATTATAAAAAAATAAAGAATAACATTCCCAACAAGTGGTGATACGAGTCAAATAGAGAACTACAACATTTGGTGGCAGCGACTACAAGATTGGTGACGACGGTGGTCCAATCCAGGATCACGACAAAATGTACAGTACGTCTGTCCATTCTGTAGCTACGGGGTATCCGTAAGAGGGGAAACGATATTCTCCTAAATGTATTTCTCTTGTAAATGTATATTGTAATATTCTCCTTCGATGTTTCTCCTAAAAAAATAGACGACGCGTCCCATCAATAAAAATTCAACAAATTTGCAAGTAGCCAATAAAATGAGTGGGCGGAGCGATTTGCGGTGACGCACTCGTCAAATCGACGTATAAAATATATTTCTGTTTATTTAAATGTTTTTGTCCGCATTCCTTTCATAGACACAGATCCAGCAGATGTACTGTAAGTAATCGTCTTAATTATTTAAAAAAAAAGGGTGGTTAAAAGAAACACTCTCTGTTTTAAAATAAATTAAAAATAACAGAGTTATTTAACTTTAATGGAAAATTTAAAGAATCAGTATTTACATTTTGAGAAATTGACTTGTGGCGTTTGAAAATGTTCTATTCTGAGTAAAAATGACTTTTTGTGCCTCGGGTATACGTATGTTAAACGTACAGCCTCGACATAGAAAGTGTCATTATTACTCCTAATAAAGCAATATACTTACTTTTTTTTTAATTTGACAAAAGTATACTAATTTTTAGCCATCTAGATAAAAAAAAAAACAAAGTATTGTATCAACATATATTTTTCATACAGTGTGGGTACATAGAGGGTACAATTAGAGTATTAGAATTGTTTTGTTTAAGTTTATTGCCCGTACCTGTTTAGTCTCTGGAAAAAAAATTGTTTAACTAACTTACTACTAGACATGGCCTGATTTTTAAAGAAAATCTAAACTTAAGTTGAGTAATCAGAGAGAAAAAAGGTATAGGAATCATTTCACCTTTATATATGGAAGATAATTTGCATCACGCAAGCTAATGTCTGTAAAGCAAATGTTTTTACTAACAGAATTAAACTTCATAAAAAGCTATCGCGTGATCGAAAAAAACGGCGTCCAGTTGGCTTGGAAATGACGATCAATGACATTCCCCATATAATTTTACATATAAAATGACAGCGATCTTCATTTCATAGCCATCGCTGACGCCGTTTTTTTTTCGATTATACGGTTTTAATTTATTCAAAATATTAATCTAAATGCCGTATGATTGAAAAGAAACTGCGTTAGCGGTGGCTATAAAATGAAGATCGCTGTCATTTTATATGTAAATTTATATGGGAAATGTCATCGATCGTCATATTCCAGCCAATTAGACGCCGTTTTTTTCGATATATGAATGAGTACTAGATAAATATTTCACTGACAAACGGACTCCTATCAGTTATGTTTGTCTCCATTGCGACATCAGCTGCTAGTGGTTAAAAATTACGAAATGTTTTCATTTAGATAGCTGAAAATTGCTATGTTTATGAAAAATGATAAAGCAACTTTTCCGCATTAAATTTTTCAGAACTCGGTCAGGAAACTCATTTTTTAGCCATTTATTACGCATTTATTACTTTAATTGTCAAATATGACGGATAACCGAGTTGATGCTGTGATAGTACCGTATGATCGAAAAAAACGGCGTCCAGTTGGCTGGGAAATGACAATCGATGACATTTTCCATATAAATTTACATATAAAATGACAGTGATCTTCATTTCATAGCCATCGCTGACGCCGTTTTTTTTTCGATCGGTATTTGTACTTACCTCGCATGGTGTATTTTTTATTCCCATTCTAATTTTATAGGCCGCAGATGTTATTTCTTCAAAAGATACTTTTACAGGCTTATCAGGGTTGCACAAGGGATCGTCTACCATTTCTTCAGTGTCCTAAATATTACAGAGTAACAACATTTTATATAAGGTTTTATATAGATTACTTACATTCAGAGAATTATTAAAAAATGCCATAATAACTTTTTTTATTGGCCGATTCAAATATATTTTTGCACTGTAAGCGACATAATATGGAGCCTTACATGGGGTCTTGATACTAAAATAATTAAAGTATTTTCACAACAATAATGGAATAATATACATATAAGACAAATAACATTTTTTCATTATTACAGGCCTAAGATAAGAGGAATTCAAAGGTTATCTTGTTTGTTATTTTAGATGTTGGTATGGTCTTATTGTTCATCAATTATTCGTTTTTATTTCTAATGCCTTATTATACGGTATTATTAGAAATATTTATATTATTAACATTAAATACCCTATGATCGAATAAAAACGTCAGCGATGGCTATGATATGAAGATCGCTGTCATTTTATATGTAAAATTATATGGGGAATGTCATTGAGATGTCCATTTCCTAGCCAACTGGACGTCGTTATTTTTCGATCATACGGTATACAGGGTGGTCCGAATTGTATTCAGGAAACTTCGGCAGCATATTTTGCACATAAAAATAAGTAAAAAAGTTCGTATAAACTTATGCTCTAAAATGTTTCGTTTCGGCCCTAAAATGCTTCCTTCGATACAGGGTGTAGAAGTTTCATTTTTATTTCGATTTTTTCGAAATAATTTTTGAACTAATGTCGATATTTGGATGAAAATTGGTATCTGGGGATTTGTAAATGAGAAATTTCATTTCGATGTTAATATGAGTCCTATTTGTATGGGGCGCCACGTACATGTTTTTTACGGTTTTGAAGAATAATAACTTTTCGTCCGTCCCTGTATACACTACTGATTGAAGAGGAGATTAGAAATTCAATATGCTAAGAAAATTCGAAAAATTTTCATGGCTCTGTATACGAAAATGCTTTTCGTGGTTTTTGATTTATTGAGAGACACAACAGTTTCAATAAAAACTATTTATTTCGCACATTTTTTCAACCTCGACCGGCCTCGAAACTCTTGGCGCGTCGTCGTCTTCGAAGCGAGTCGTTAGGCTCCTCCTTCCTACTACTTCCTTTCCGCTTTTCCCGTCAATGCAAGGCGCCAAATTTGAATTATAACTAGGGAGGAGCATATTTAGTGCTATATCGTTATACGATAACAGCTCATATTGAAATATTGAAAAATTTTTAGTTCATCCTCAATTAAATATGAAAATAATGTGGATTTTTGCCAATATTGTGAACCTATAACTTTCGATTCTTTCTCGTGATTTCTTCTTCTTCTATTAGCAAGGAGCTCAAAATTATTTCTTGTCGAGAAATATTAAAAAACACGCTTATCACCGCAGAGAAGACCCCGGAAGCGACTGATAAAAAATTCGATTGGCAAATACGGGTGTAGTAGGGGCAAAAAGAAACAAAATAGCGAATAATGCGGCGCGTTCGGTAGGGCTCACTGTGCGCGACAAGAAAAAAAAGTGCGATTCGTGCGGCTCTGGTCAATGTGCGCGTACCTTTAATAACCAATACATGCCATCAATGACAAAAATTAAACATGTTCACTAGATAGATATTTGAGTAAATAAATAATTTTTGTAACATTTTGATACCAAAGGTTCAACAGAAGCTGTTTTAAAACACAACTGTCAATTTTCTCGTAATTTCGTAATTTTTAAAAAATCTATATCGGTTAAAACGAGTTGATGCTAATGGTTCTACCGAAACCATATCATAAATTTCCAAAAAAAAATTGCCATTTGGAAAATTAACATGCATTGATTATTTCAAATACAAAGATCTCTATAATCGTTATTTGTAGTAATTTTTCCCAAGATACCTTTTACGTTAAAATGACGAGAAAAACTATATCTGTACTTAAATAAATTTAATATTAACTAGAGTGGGCCTTTTTTTGTTCGTTAGGCAAATTTGTATATCTGTAAACCTCAGTTCTGACAAATTTTCTTGCAGTGGCGAAATACTCATATAGGATTTTTTGGAGAGATGAATCCGCCACATAGGTATAGACATTTTTTAGAGTGGGCCTTGCCTTGCATACCTTTTGTTTTTAATTTAATTAATGATTTAAAATCGCGAAACTTCTAGAAAACTTACAGTTAGGTTTTAAAACGGCTTCAATCTATGATACTAAAATGTCTCGAAAATTATTAGTTCAGTCAAATATCTTTCTAATGAAAATCTTTAATTTTTGTCATTGATAACATGTATAGATTAATAAGAATCCAAATATCTCGAGAACGGTTGCCAAGAGATTTTAGAGTTGCCAATTTTACCAAGAGACATTTTTTACGGAGAAAAAGGCACAAATATATATATTTTTTTATTCATTAATGTAATACAGGGACGAAAGAAAAGTTATTACTCTTCAAAGCAGTTAAAAAATGTAGGCGGCGCCTCCTACAAGTAAGAGTTACATATTGACATTGAAATCAAATTTCTCATGTTAAAAAACGCTCGGATGCTAATGTTCATCCAAATACCGAATATAGTTCAGAAATTATTAGGAAAAAATGGAAATAAAACTGAAATTTCTACATCCTGTATCTCCGAAACAAAGCATTTTAGGACATAAGGTTGATTCTTACTAAACCTTCCGTTTCCATTCCTTATCCGTGCCGTATTTTTATTGTATTGACGCTATACGTAAGCTTCCATTCTGTATCAGTATCAGTTCTACACTTTTTATTGTACAATTTAATCATTACGAAAGTTTGAAATTGTATCTTTTGAAAAATTGTATCTTTTGATAAGGTTAATAGATTTAATTAAGAGGTGAAAAAATAAAATGTTAACAACGCTATTTCCGATACGCTTCAGTCCAACCGCCAAAAAATGTATGGAAGGAAAGGATATGGAACAGAAGGGAAACGGAACGGATAGTGTGCAGTGTCCTATTCATTTACATGATATAATATTTTACGTAAACGGAAGGGAGCTGATATGGAAGGTATAGGCTTGGTGCATTCTCCGCCGGTGCTGCCACCGCAGGAGAATATCGTAAATAAGGAATACATACAAATATTACAAATACACGGGTTTAAACGGCGAGTAAACGAAAAAATTGGTATATAATTATTCAAAAAGTGTTAGAAAGTATAAGTTGTGGAAATTCTAAACAAAAAAATAAAAAGGTAAATATTTTGATATTTTCAGAAGGTCTAACTTGCATTTTTATTATTCCAATCAAATTAAAAAAAAATTAGATGAGTTCAACTACGGTAGCGAGCATAGTTTTATTACCGGTTTTGCTAATGAGGCATAATTGGAGCTATTTCGGCTATAACGAAAAGGTACATAATAATAAATAATTGTAGAAGATGCTCATAAAACATTTAATCACTAAAAAGTATACCATTAATATTGCAAATTATATTTCATCCTCTCATAGTATATGTCTATTTAATGTTTTCATCTTGTAACGAGCACTTTGTTTACTTGTTCCGTCGAACCGCTTGAATCCATTTTTGCTATGGATCAAATCGGTGTAAGAAATTTTGAAGCTATAAAATATTGTTTGGGAGAGTTGAATATCCGGGAAAGTTGAGTTATTGAATGTTATTGCATCCAACAACGCCCTAATTACGCTCTCCTTTACGCGTTAACATTTTTTTGGGCAATTTTATTAACATTTGAAATTGTCACAACACAACAAGACGCCTAGTTCGAATTCTTTTTCATTTATTTTTTTCTACCCGAAACAGCCTTACATCACACAAACCTCGTGCCGGAGTTTTTTATAGTCTCAATAACTGCACTAGCAAAAAACTAAAATACTTAAATATTATGACAAAACCCCGATTTCAATATTTTAATGCGATCGACATGACGGAGGCGTGAACTATATATTGATAATTTCTGATCTCGGCCGTAGAGTGCGCTGCGGTCGGAATTTGTTGAAATCAACTGAAATGTACCAAGCCTATAGTGAGAATCAACCTTTAAGTTTATACGAACTTTTTTACTTATTTTTATGTGGCAGAATACGCTGCCGAAGTTTCCGGAATACAGTTCGGACCACCCTGTATAATAATGTGATAAATTCAGTTTTGCTATTCACATTCCTGATTTAACTTGCAAAAAGAAAATAATTAATATGAGTAAAATATATGCTATGTACTTACATTTAAGTTGACATCATCGTCACCTTCAATACTTGAAGGATACCTATAGTCCATTTTTTTCAACCAGATTTTGTTGACCAAGATGATGTAAATACTACTGAATTTATAGTAATGTTTAATGATAAAGTGGACCAAGAGCAAAGCCAAGAGGCAGGCACTGTTATCTTATCCTTATTGTTGCTCAACGGAAATAAAAATACAAAACGTGCCTGTTTAATTTATTTTCGAATGACGATAATCGGATTTTAATGATTTTGGGTATTTACATAAAAGTATTTATCAGGATTGTAGAATTTGTAAACAAAATAATGCTTTAAAAGATAATATTTTATGGTTTGAATCCTAGCTTTTATTTACTGTAAATAGAAATTATATAGGGTGATTCACGGCGATCGATGGTACGTTAGATGTTTATGGAGAACCGGTGATTATGGAGAACCGAATTTTTTTGAAAATTTGGATTTTTACATAAAGGCACCTGCTACATCTTTCTAAAATATTTTCAGCATTACAGTGTTGCCGCATCATTTGAAAAGTGGTAGCATCTTATTTTAAATGGAACACTCAGTATATTATTACATTTTTGGAAACTACTTTCTTATATCCAATTTTTCTATCATACTAACCTATACCTGTCTTTAATAGTTTTTCAGATAAAAAATAAAACGTGTAAAATTGACAAAAATATGGTCGTGAATAAGCATTGGTAAAATCATAAATTAGACATTTTTAAATTTTGATTATAAGTTAACGAAAGTCGATATATCGTCAGTGAAACGTGATAACTTGCTAACTCCATTTTTGATTTTAAGTAAATAATACGTTTAATATATAATCTTTAGGTAAAATAATTATTTTTTCTGACCTCCCTGTTTGATATCCAATCAGTTGATTTAGATAGATTGGATATACCGACTTTCCTTAACCTATAAACCAAATTTCAGCTTTCAATATGCCGAATTAATGATTTAACCAATGCTTATTTAAGATCATGTTTTTGTCAATTCTACACGTTATATTTTTTATCTCGAAAACTATCTATAATATATATAATATAATACAAAAATTATGAGATATCAAAGTAGTTTTCAAAAATGTAATAATATACCGAGTGTTCCATTTAAAATAACAAAGATGCTACCACTTTTAGTACGAAGCGGCAACACTGTAATGCTGAAAATAATTTAGACAGATTTATGCAAAAATTCAAATTTTCAAAAAAATTTCCACCGGTTCTCCAAAAACCTCTAAAGTGTCATGGCCGTGAATCACCCTGTATTATACAGTGTTTACGAAAAGTTTGGCAAAAAAAAAGTTTTTTTTTGCATTGTCGTTTACCTACTAGATTATTTAGTTATACAGGGTGAGCCGAAATGTAAACACTTGTATCATTTACAAATAACTTTTATTCATCATAAAAATAGTTGATAAATTATTGATGCACATATTATCCGTTCGATTTTCAAAGTAAAAGAAGTTAAAACTACACATTTTACATTTACAACTCTTGGCAATATATACACTTATACCTGATTACTAATATTTTACAATCGAATGAGAACAAAAAAAACATTTAATCAAGATCACTGGATAATATGAGTACAACTGAATACAATCATTTTTTCAAAAGGCAAAAAAGACCTATTTATATCGAAAATGGAATGAACAGGATAATTTTTTTAAAAATATCCACGTTGTACTTATTTACATTATTCCTTACAAGCTAGAAACAATCAGTGGCACAGAGACATATAAAATTAAATAGTTAAAAAAATAAATATGCCTTATGGTAAAGCTAATTAATACTGGGTTTGTCGGCAAAAGGTTTAGGAATGCCGGAAAAATAATTTCATTTAAAAATATCCATATACTTTCGTCCTGGAACTGACTTAGACAAATAAGTAACCCTAGAGAAGTTTTTAACTATGTTTTGAACTAAATTTTATCAGATTTTAGAGTTTTATTTTTATCTACTTACGACGGAGTCAGATATTCCCGTAAAACGCCTCTACGTTTACTTATATCTCTGAAAACATAAAAACAAAAATGCACTGCAAAACGTAATGTTAATGCAGACAAAAATATTTTCCAGGGCAGGGATGTCTATGGCAAAGCAATATTAATAAAATCACAGATAACTTCTTTACGGTACAAAAAGACAGCAATACGTAACTAAACTTTCTTAAAATAACACCGAACTGTCAAAAATAACACTCAATACTTTGGTGACAACAGTGACATGTGTCTTTGTAGTTTAAAATAATGATTTGGAGTATTCAAGTTGGTTTATCAAGGTTTTTATTGCAGAACCAATCTAACTTAAATAGATTTTTTGTTGTACCGTTAAAGATTTGAAATTTAAAACAGGGTTGGCAAATATCATGATATTTATATAAATATCAAATATCGGATATATATCGGATATATATCTGATATATATATCCGATATATATCAAGTTTTGATATTTATTTTTGTTTTTATTTTTTACGTAAAACTTCGTTTAGTATCAAGCAAAATCAAGAGCTCAAGCAAATATTTTTATTTCAACTTAATTATTGTTGCTTTGCACATAATAGGAACAACATTAAAACAAAAATATATAAAAAATATACAGAAATTCTAAAAAAATAAACAGAACTTCTAAAAAATAATCAGGATTTCTAAGAAATAAACGGAAATTCTAAAAAATAAACGGAAATTCAAAAAAATAAACAGGTATTCTAAAACTAACAACAAACAAATTTATATTTGATTTATTAATTTTATTAATGGTAATGGTAAATCATCGTCAGAGTCAGGGTGCATCCACACTATCTTAGAAACGGCGTAACGACCTTGAAACGATTTCCAGCAATTCTATTGGCTGAAAAATTCATCTTTCAGAAATTTTATTTTTAGCCAATAGAATTACTAGAAATATATTCAAGGTCGTTACGCCATTACGCCGTTTCTAGGTGTGGATGCATGTGGATATATATCAAGGTATAAATATCATGATATATATATATATATATATATATATCCGATATATATCACTGATATATATCATGCCAACCCTGATTTAAAAAGTAATAATAAGGTATTGAGTGTCATTTTGATGTCTTCAGGACACATAGACGTTATTTTTTGACAGATTTAGGGTATAGACTGTTTTGTCATCTAGTTCTTGTTAATTTTCAAAAAATTGCAGATAGAGATTGGCTCAACCAAATCATAGATTGTAGTTCGAAAGGCCACTGTTATATATACTAATTGTATACTATATTATTAATTATCATAATAATTTTATATAATATTATATACTATGTATTATATATTATTATTTTTTTTTGTCACAAACGACTCTAGAGTATGTACTTTGAGTAAAGTTTTGAGTCAAGCCCACTCCTTTCCAGAATCCTGGATCCGCCCCTGATTGTGGCCAGACGGTATTTACGTTTAGTTAGTTGTAAAATATTAGTTATATTCAAAAAAAATATGTCATAAATATTAAGTTATTATGGACATTTTTTTTTCATCAGTAGTTGCAGAGCTGCAAACTTAAGTCATTTGATTTTAAGTCATATTTCGAAAGCCGACTTAAGACTTAAAATTTAAGTCTTTTTCAAAATGACTTATGATTTAAATCTTTATTCCGAAAAATTCCGAATCTTTAAAAAAAAAATGCAACGGTCTAGCTACGTTGAAATACCGGTCTCCATTAGAACACCGAAGTTAAGCGACGTAAGGCGATACTGCTGGATGGACGAGTGACCGGTTCGAAACTCTGTATCGTGCTGTTGTTCCAGGGAAAAGTGTAAAATCTATTGATACACACTGCTCATTCACGCAGGTTCGAGGCCGGATGAGATCGGATATCTTGTGAGTAAGAGTTGATTTAGACACTTCCTACAGGAATTTATTCGGGTATCCTTCATGTTTAAGAAAACATAGCTAAGTATTAATAAAGTTATATTCACTCTAGTTTTTTACCACTTATCCAGTTATCTACAGAAAATTAAACTTGTTTTAAATAAAAAAAAGTTGTAGAAAATCTCTCAAATAGATAATGATATAAAAATATGTCATTATATATTTTTTCCGCATTTCTTCCAATCAGAAGGTTTTCAGATACAGAAGAATTTTTATCTACGCGAAATGTGAAAATATTCTGTTTTCAAGGAAGTTTTTACTCGATGATCAATTTTTTTATTTTATTTTATTGTGAACTCATATTTTCCTAAATACATATCTGTGAAACTATGGCGAGTGCCACGACTATACTTTGCCTAGTTAATAGACCACGACTATACAGCTACGTCAGTGGTCACATCACAGAAAAAGAACAAAGGATTTGACAAGGAGTAAAACTACTAGTTTCCTTATACTATGGTAAAACTGTCAAAAAAGAACGCCATGTGTGATCCCTTTAACTATTACAAAACAAACGTAGAAATATTCTCGGTAGACTTAATACACAGTTGAGAAGTGGTTGCACGTCAACACAGTCATCATTTTAGTCCTAAATGAATCGACGGAGGTAGGTAGAAATCAAAATGATAAGCGCTAAACGTACAGAGTTGAGTCCTTAACATACGATAATATTAACGATTTGTACTTGGAGATATTCAAGGAAGCATTCGGCTTAGCGCTCCAATCTTTGGTTCAAATGGGGCCCCGGGCCTATAGGGCAGATTATGAGATCGCAAACGGTCAGTCGGCGGCGCTACTACGCAACGTCTCTTCAGCCATCATCAGCCGAACCTCTCCTTCACCAGGAACATGAGCTTCTTCTTACCTTTGTATGCCACCTAAAACATTAAAAATAATAATAAAACAATGATTAATTAAATTTAAAGAAGGCGTCCATTCTTCTCAAAGACACTTTAACTAAATTAAAAAGAAGTAGGAAAAAGGCTCGGTCTCAACGTTAATATTAAGTTAAACAGTGACACGTGTTTCGCTCATACGAGCATCATCAGACAAATAAAATTGAATTATTAATATTAATTGAGTGTTGTTTTAATATGTAAAATGTGAACGTGTATGTGGATTGACTTTAACTGTATTTGTCTGATGATGCTCGTATTCTCGTATGAGCGAAACACGTGTCACTGTTTAGCTTAATATAAACCTTGAGACCGAGACTTTGAGTCTTTTTCCTACTTCTTTTTAATAATTAATTAGAATTTTCGTGACGGAATAAATAACGATATTTTACCTTTGCGTTCCGAACAATACAAAAGAAAATTACTAAAACATTTATTTTTTCTCAAAACGAGAATTTCTAACTAAAGTTTCCAATTTTCGGCATCGGGATCCCGTTTTGAAATTCCGGGATAAAAACTATAATTCCGGGATCCCGGAATTGACTCTTAGAATGAGAAATATAATTTAAAGAAATACTTAATAAAATTACAGCTACATATATATCAAAAGATAATGAGAAAATAGTTTTATTGAAATAAACAAAAAAAGTAACATTCATATTTAGTAAGTAAAAATAATATAATTCTTGTAAGAAAAAACAAAATATAACACGGAAATATAAACCGGAAATATATATTGAAGCTCTACTTACTATAAATAATATATGATCTTACAAAGACTAAAGGCGTATAAATTCTAATCATTTTAGATTGAGTTTTATTTTTTTTCGAGATTCCGGGATTTAATGCTGGGGTACAACGTTAGATCTTGATACAACATATTGATATCAATTTTCCTGCCTTTGAACTTGAACGCTACATACAACCGGCGTTGGGTAGGTGGAAAATTTTACATACTCTGCCATATTTTCTACACCAACGAAATGTCTACGTTTTGTACATGTCCAGATGTAGAAAATTAGTTTGTATATTGAAAATTGAAAGCCATTTTTTGCATTTTGATTTGAACAAAAACGATCTAAAAAATGAAAGGAAATAAAATATATCTATGAATTAAAATAAACTGTTACTGTCACATATCACCTCCTGGGGCAATCTTTAATAGGATTTTTTTTCTAATCTAAGAATGGATGCAGGCTGTTTCTCAAAAACTACTTCGCTGGAAATTATTTTCAAATTCCAAAAATGTTTGCTAAGAGGTGCATCTTTTTCTCATATGCGCATGAACAGGTTTTTGAATGCACGTGAACGATTTTAAATATTTCTGTGTAAACACTCATTTTTTTTTGTTATAGCGTGTTTGTTCTCTCTCTTTATTCTTAAAATAAGGACTGGTTTGGGTTGTAACAGAATTAAAATTAAACAAACCGGGGTCCTTTAAATGAGCATTTCTTTCTTACTTATCGATAACACGCAATATAAACTTCTTTTCAATAGTTTTTGCCATGGTACCTAGAGGGAGTTGTTTTACATCATATCCGCTATTGCGCGTTTGTATATGAATTTTAAATAACAGGCTATATCGCTTTTTGCGTGGTTTATAAATTACAAAATTCGTGAACTCTGATAAATCGTACCTAAATGATATTGAACATAAAATAAAACGTTTTAATATTTTAACATAAACTATTTACCTTTTTTTTGTTTACTAGTATAATTTAAAATAAGACTTTCGTAGGCATACGCGCCAGCTTTATTTGTTCTCTTACCTCACTTTAGAAAGTCATACAAAAAGAGACATAACCAGGCATTTAAACATTTTATGTAAACTCGCAATAACTGTTGTCATGTCAAACAACACCCTCTAGATATCACAGCAAAATCTATTCAGTCAATGTTTATATAGCGGAGTATTAAAGAAGATATGATATTTTAAATTGACTGTTATTTTCTTTAATTCATCTAATCCAAACACAGTTATTGTTATTTTAAAGAAAGCAAATTTAACGTTCCCCAACAACTTTATTATGAGATACAACAGAATATATTATTCCAAAAAAAATATATATTTTTCTTTCTTTTTATTATTAGAATATTTTTTCCTAAAGTTATACAATAAATAAATTCTGAGATACATCCGGCGTCCATTTTCAGTTCGCACCCTTTGCAATAATATCGACATTTAAAAAATCGGAATCGATTTATTTGAAATATCGATAGTATTAATCTGTTTACAAACATTCCACTAACTTACCTTCATATTCTCTATAAGCTGCGCAAACTGCGAGTGTCCATCATGGGCTAACGCAAAGGTGTCTCTTGCCCGGCCCAAAAAGTCAATAAAATCAGCATAGTGACGTGGCGATATATGCGTTAGCCTCGAATGGGTGGTGTTGATATAAGCTGCTACAGCAGCCTCTAAAAGAGGTCGTAATGGTGGACGATCAAAGGAGAGAGGCTTAGGTCCCGGCGCCGAACAGCCCCGCCTATGGGGCCCGTGTTTGACATCAGGGTGAGGTCCAGCCAATGGTGGGCCTCCAGGAGCGGAAGCGCCGCATCGTCGTAAGACATCGCTCAGTACAGTGGCACATTGTACGTTTTTAACCAGGAGCGGAACCATATGGCCCAGCTCTGTCTTGCCTAAAGAATGAGCTAAAGCCATTGCCCAATGAATATCGTTAATAGCCGGATGGGTGTCTTGGTTGTAGGCTAGATGAACGTTTTTCATGGCGAGCATGGCAAGTTTGTAGGCCCTCGTAGGGTAGCCTCGGTGTTCCATGTAGCGAGCGATGGTAAATAATTGTGAAGAAGTCATGATGTGTGAGGCGGCGTCGACTACTATTTGGTAGGCTGTTTCAAAAGCTAAAGCCTCGTTTTCGCATAGAGTCAGCGCGTTTAAGGCACAGTTAGGAGGATCCTAAAACAAAATTGACATAAGATCAGTTTGATTCAATTAAGCACAATTACAGCATGTTACCTTGGTGGCACATTGTAACGCAAGTGTCCTAGCACACCCGCTCAGTTCTTCTTGCTGCGGGAAACTCAGCTGCAAACGAACCATAGTGCCTCTTGACATGATGGTTGTAGCAACAGGACCGGCAGCCTCTGTAGCCGTGAAAAACTGGAACCAATTCTGCATGAGAGACACCAGCGCATCTAATCCCAGTTCTACTGCGCAGGTCACTAGCCAGCGTACCATCTCCCTTCGACGCCAATTGAGCGAAGACAGCGTCATGCGCATCACCTGAAGACCCAGCTCGAAAGCTACACTGAGAAGTGTTGGATGCCTTGGTCCACTCTCAGGTGTTGCAAAGCGAAATGCGTCTTGGGCGAGCTTGAAGAGGTGTGAAGAGCTGTGAATGTGGCGCTGAGATGACTCTAAAACCGTGCGAAGTCTCATAACCTCTCCTTTGGCCGCGCTCAACATGGTGCTGCTCAGGGCGCACTGCTGACTCTCTATGTGTCCCAGGGTGAACCAACGTGGGGGCCGGCCAGCTGCGGCCCCACTAGAGCCCCCCTGACTTTCATCAGCCTCTTCAAGTAACGGTAATCTCATAGCTCTTAGTCCCACTTCATAGGCCAAGTCTGGGTAGAAATTGAGCAAAGAGAGGAACAAAAACCTGGCGAATGTATGCATGGGGATGGATTCTGGATGAATTCCGATACCCAGACCGCTAGTTGGCCCGCCTTCCAGTAAAATGATCGCTTGTCTTCGTAGGACTGCTACCAGGCTATTGTCTAATTCAATTTCTTGGAGTTTGGCTATTAAACGGTCTTCTTGTTTACAGGCTTTTTCTTGGGCATAGAGTCCCACAGGCATGACTCTCTGCTGGCCCAGGCCGATGAGGGCTATTTCGAAGGCTAGGGTGAGGTAAGTTTCTGAACGGTCCCTGGAACCCACTACTGGAACGTGGTGGTATCTGGGTCTAAGGTTATTCAGTTGCTCATCCATACTCACAAAATCTAGAACAGTTAATGTATAGAATTAATATAATAATTATAATTTTAATATTTTATAATATACAAAGAACCTCTTAAATAAGTACTTGTATTTTAAATTTTTTCTTTGTCATTTTTAAAATAAATTAAAAATAGCTGATTTATTTAACTTTCAAAACCAAAAAAACGCAGCACTACAAAGTTTCTAAAATATCTCCGAAAACATTGTAATATACAGATTAATCCATGACGTAATAACAGCGTATTTACCGAGATAACTAGGTGTCCGAGGTCTTTGATCATCTGGAACTGTGGAAGCATCAGCTAAAGTATCAAATAGACACCCTATTGGGTCTAATGGGTGTCCCACCCAACCATCAGGATTTGCGGGTGCCTTGGTGCTAGTTGTAGAGCAGGAATTACTTCCGCAGGATCCCTGACATCGTGAAACGCAAGGTTTGGACTGCGACCCCGAAGTGCTGGGCTGTTGTTGCTGACTTTCGTGCCACTGACGCTGGGCTTGAAGCTGTTGCTGTTTCATGGTACGAACCACGGAGACAGCTAATCTTAGAGCTGCCTCTGCGTGGCCATGGGAACGCAACGAGTCAACTCTTGCTGCACACCAAGGAATGGATTCTGTTCACAATAAAAAGTTATAAATACTAAAAATATTTTAATTATTTTTTATGAGGTCATACCATGCCATAGCGGTTGGCCTTGGGAATTAAAGCTACCATTCAAACTGGAATTGTCAGGAACATGGGAACAGTAGGTGTCGCTAGATAGTATGTTTTTCAAATGCATATTATCCCAGGACATGTTCACTGCATCTAAAGCTCTAATAAAATAATACTTTATTATTCCAAAAAAAAATGACTACGTAAAGGATGTACAGTACGTCTGCTGGATCTGTGTCTATGAAAGGAATGCGGACAAAAAACATTTAAATAAACAGCAATATATTTTATACGTCGACTTGACGAGTACGTCACCGGAAATCGCTCCGCCCACTCATTTTATTGGCTACTTGCAAATTTGTCGAATTTTTATTGATGGGACGCATCGTCTTATTTTTTACGAAAAACATCGAGAGAATATCGTTTCCCCTCTCACGGATACCTCGTAGCTACAGAACGGACAAACGTACTGTATATGTCATCCAATCGTGATACTAACCTATGAAATATCGTTCTGGGTAATGATGGTTTGCTTTGGTTCTTTCCGTTGGAGAACCGCAGTCTTTTGTTGCCTCTCTGAGTATAGCTGGGTTGCTGTTGTTGCTCGTCTTCATCCGAATCGCTGGAGGTATCCGAAGAAGAGTAGCTCCTATTTCTGTCTCTATCTCTCTCTCTGTCACGTTCTCTCCTATCTCTTCGTTCAGAATACCTGTCTCTCTCATGCCAGTACCTATCCCTATCTCTATCTCTGTTTGAATAAGAGTCTCTATGTCCTCCCACTTGTTGTACGCGAAAATCCGGGTCTTCCGGAGGGCATACGTCGATACGAACCCACTTTTCAAGCAACGCTTTCCACTGATTCTTATCTTGTTGTGTACATCCGGGACTTAAAGCTATACAAACCCATAAAGAACCCAATTGGTCCCATAACTGTCGACACTTATCGGTCATTGCTGTTCCTTGACTCTTCCATAGAACTAGTCTGGGGTCCCCTAAAAATTGTTCGGTGATAAGCGTGAGCATACGTGCTCCGTTGGAGTCCTGCGCTCGTAGCATTTCGCGAACTTTTGAAAAAAGGGAGTTTAGTTGTTTGTTGGCATTGTAGTAGGCTCCTTGGGCGAGGTATGAGCGTACCTGTTCGCAGACTTGAGTCTCGTCGAGATGCCAGGAATGGGCATCATCGGCTGCGGCGCCTGCTGTAGGATCAGGAGCACCTGCAATCTAAAATTAAAAAGGGTTATATTTTAAATTCATGATATCTGACGATATGACATCACAAGTGGGTAAGAAAGTTAAATATCGTTAAAATGGCACATAACAGATTGGAAATTTGACTGCTTTTGATATTTATGGCCTGTCCACTAGATTTTGCGCATCGAACAGAAGATATTAAACTCATATAACAAGAACAGAAGTATATTAAACTCATACAAAAAGTAATTTCCAAAAACCAGAATTAGTAGGTAAAAAATATGATATAATGTGTATTCAAGACTCAAGATGATGCTATATTATCCAACAAGTGAAGGAAGATTTCGACGGACGAAATCCGAAAAATTACAGAAAATATAATTTAGCTGTGAATTAAAAGGACAGGCACAGCTGTCACTGTCATGTATCCTCCCGTTGGATCCACAAAACATCCCCCTTTAGAACTTTTTCTTTAATGGCCATAAGCTGGAGTAAAAGCCCAACCGCCCGAACAAACACTAGAAAAGTCGTGTACTTGTATTAAAAAAAAACACCGAACAAACACACAAGGAGTCGCGCATAACTTTTTCAATTTAAATTCAATATTCATTGTTTTCAAACTATATTATTAGACCAAATTTTTCACCACAAAAACTTTATTAAGTAGGCCTTGTTTTTTGTGAAATAACATGACATTGAGCCCTAAAGTACATTTTTTGAAACTTTATATTTGAAAAAAAAATCATCAAAATCGGACTATAAACACAGATTTTATGGAGGGTGCCCGGTCTTGAGTGGGTCACACTGTATGTCAGTTGCCGTCTAAAATGTCATCTTGATTCTTTGATCTTGATAACAAAAAGTTAGTTATTGTCAAAAGTAGTTAAAATCATGTAAAATATTAAAATTTACAATTTATAATTAGATATTTTATATTATTTCAAAAACAAACACAACAGTACACCGTAATGTTGATATGCAGGTTCAAAACAAAAAGCGACGTTATATTTTTCAGTTTTCGTTGTCAGCTGCGGAAGTTTCAGTGATTTTAGTGTTGTCGGCGATTTTTATTTGTGAAATAGAAATATTGCGTTTGGATTGCAAAAATAAAAGTGGAAGTTTTATTGTAATGTAAGTAAGCGTTTGTCCATTTTATATTTTACTTTTTTCATACCTACGACAAATATACATATATTGAAATTTTATAATTCGTTTTATTTAAAAAATGTTAGAAAACAAGCTTGTAATCCTATAATTGACATAATTGTTATGTAATATATTCCATTTAAATGTAATATATTACTTTACAATTAAAAAAATGTAAATTTAAAAAATATATTAAAAATATATACAGGCATTAATTGAAATTTTTTGAGTGCGAACAAACACGAGAGGCGCTTTATTATTTCTTAACATGACAGACGAAGTTCTAAAGGGGGATGTTTTGTGGTTGGATCAGACTAGTTGCTAGAGTACACTGATCTCTCTGAACGAAATAGAAACACAAATTACTGTTTATGCATTTCAATTAAATATACGCCAGAAGTTACAAAATGGTTGCTAGCGCAATTTTAGAACATTAAGGCCGACCGCCCACGGTGTGACTATTTTGAGACAAAAGTTGCACGCACATGGATGCAACTCATTCTGAATCAGTTTCAGTCAGTTGGTATAGCATTTCTATTTAATAATCTTCACAACGTCAAAATTCCGACTATTCAGAATCAAATGATGAAGACATCATTGATTATTATCAATACCAATCAAGAATTTTATATTTAAAGAGTTTCTTCGTGTTTCTCAACCTCTCCAACGATCAGTTTTTGATTGCCCATTTTGATGTAATAGCCCTGGTCACTTTATTTCCGTGGTCTGTACTTTAATGTACAAATTGAGATAAATATGTATTAATGTATTAATAGAGATAAATATATACGACCAGTTGACACACAGAGAGACAAGATAAAAAGCGGCATACGTGTTATCGGTTCGTATGAGAAATAAAATAACAAACGAAGATAATATATAGTTAATTAATAATTCTCATTTATGTTAGACATTTGTTTAAGAACCTATTACAGCTGAAGTAAAATGAGTAACTAATTGTGAAAAATAAAGTTCCAACCCTAGATGCAAAATTTTTCGTAAATACCTACTTATATTGTGCGGTTTGAAATTTTGATGCAAAATCCGGAAATACCGCATAGAAGAAATGTATTAACCTAACTTTCATCTTTTTTTAATATATTTGATTTTTCATTTAAGCTGTCTACAGTCTACATCACTGTCTTAAGGCTTAAGGTACATTCAGGCTGAGGGTGCATCCAAATTACCCTAGAAAAAGCGGATCGGCGTATCGGCGTAACGACCTTGAAACGATTTCCAGTAATTCTATTGGCTGAAAAATTCATCTGTCAAAAATTTCAGCCAATAGAATTACTGGAAATCGATTCAAGGTCGTTACGCCGATACGCCGTTTTTAGGATAGTGTGGATGCACCCTGAGAGCGTCGAGCGTCGCGTCGCGTCGAGCCGTTCAGCCTGGAAGCGCCAGTTCAGCGTCTTGTAAGACTGTTTTTTACATTTCTAGTTTGTAAAATGGCTTTAAAGAGAGCAGTTTATTTAATTTTACTATTAGAAATGTCATATTCTGCATTTAAATAATATACAAAAAAGTAAGAGAACCTACCTAAAAAAACAGAGACATTTAAATAAAAAAATTACATTTAAAAATTTAGAATAGAGTGCGGATTACGCACCTTTATATTTCTACATTGTAACAATTTTGCGTCCCCAAGTGTATTTTTGCCTGGACTTCGATGATTTCGAGCCACCGAACGCTACAAATCTCGCCGAGAAACAATTCAGATTGAACTTGACGCCCGACGCTAGCGCAACGTCAGACGCGACGTTTTCTGCCTGAACGGTCTAATTTTCGACGCTACGCGGACGCGACGCGACGCTCGACGCTACGCGGACGCGACGCGACGCTCGACGCTGTCAGCCTGAATGTACCTTTACACGTTAAAATCTACACCACGCAGTTTCCATGATCAGATCGGTATAATTTTTATTGTCTAGATCTTATTCTATTTATCTGGCGCTTATAGTTCTGTATATACAGCTTACTTCGTATTAATATTCATGCTTAAAGCTAAATTTGAATGCTATTCAATCGGTTTAGAAGATGGAAAAATATTAACTACTCAAACATCCTACCTGATTGATTTCACTACGTTGTTGAAGTATCTCGTCAGCTAATTTCTGCGCTGTAGGTAATACTTCTGTGTGATGCTCGGCTATGAGGTATTGCACAAACTTTTGCAGCTGTTGCCGATCCATTTGCAAAAGGGTCTCTAAGAAAGAAACAAATATATTTACCACCGATCCTTAACAAGTTTATTTAAATTATAGGTACTTGTTCTCACTTAATTTTTTCTCGTTTTGGCTTTTGAGATGGGATAAGTTGACGTGATACGAATTAGAGATATACAGGGTCTCAATATTCCGTGGCCATAGAACTACCTACGTTTTGGAATCAAAATAAGTTCATTTGACGCAATTTACCTCTATATCAAAGTTTAAAAAATAACACATTTTTTAAGATCCGTTATTCCGAATTGAATTAAATTTGGGGTGCCTGTGTTTTGCTAAGTGGTTTAACATTTGACTTTCACAAAAATCAATCAAAAGTACGGGAAGGGTGAAAACTACCCCCTATCCCTACATAAATTTTAGTAGAAATATTTTACAACTACAATGGCGAAAGATTTTTTTTTTGGTAAAATGGTCCTTTTAGTATTTACTACATTTCGTGTCTCTTGTAAAAAAAACGCCACCGCGCATGCGAAATAGCGCGTTTTTGAGAAAGACACGTTTTTTTAAGCTGTCTTACAAAAAACGTTTCTTCTCACATCAAGTTATGGTATAGGCGCATAAAATCTAGTATGCGCTAATAATCTAGTTGGCGAAAATATGCTTCAGAAAATTTAAAAATTATTTTTGATCGTTGCCATCAGACAAATAAAGCACTTTTGTATAGAGGTAAATTGTATGCAATTAACTTATTTTGATTCAACAAATACGTGCTGCTCTATGTCCAAAGAATATTGGAACTCTCTATATATTTAGTAGGTCTGCTTTTGCAAAAAATTCTCAATTTTTTTCGATATTTATGCAATATGGCGTTTTCTAGAAGAGACAAAAATGTAGTAAACACTAGGGGGACTATTTTACGAAAAAAAAAGCAGTCGTCGGTGGAGTTGGAAATTATTTCTACTAGAATTTATGTAGGGGTGAGATAGTTTTCACCCTTCCCGTACTTTTTTATGATTTTTATGAAAGTCAAATCTTAAAGCACTTAGCAAAACATAGGCAGCCAAAATTCAAATGGAAATAACGGTTTTTAAAATATCTTTAAACATGTGTTTATTTTTTTAGTTTGATGCCCTCTAACGGACAAACGAAGCACTTTTGTATAGAGGTAATTTGTGTCCAATGAAGTTATTTTGATTCCAAAAACACGCAGTAGGTGGTAGTAAGTTGGTAGTAGTTATGTCCACGGAATATTTGGATACCATGTATATGTTGCGGTTAAAGTCGACATTAACAGGTTAATGTATGGGTTTGGTTTTGTTTTTTGGTTGTTTTGTTGTGTGTTATTCTCGAGATTAACTGGGTAATGCCGATATTAACCGAATATCGGACCTTAACCATAACATATACAGGGTGGTCCAAACTGTATTCCGGAAACTTCGGCAGTATATTTTGCAGATAAAAATAAGTAAAAAAGTTCGTATAAATGTATGTCCTAAAATGCTTAGTTTTGGAGATACAGGGTGTAGAAGTTACAATTTTATTTCGATTTTTTCCAAATAATTTCTGAAGTAACGTCAACATTGGGATGAAAATTGGTGTCTGGGAGTTTTTTGACACGACAAATCTGATTTTCATGTCAATATGACTCCTACTTGTAGAGGGCGCCACCTACATATTTTTAACTGTTTTGAAGAGTAATAACTTTTCGTCCGTACCTGTATAAAACAACTGAGTAAAAAAATATGCATTTACAACGTTTTTTACGTAATAAATGTCTCTTAGTAAAAATCGCTACGAGTAATGATTCTCGAGATAATTGGAATCGAAATTATCAAAACCTGTCATTTTTGTCATAAATTAAGCATGTTGACTAAATAGTTATTAGGCTGAAATCATAAATTTGAAATGTTTTTGTGCTAAAAGTTCTTTGTCATCATTTTTTCTCAGAAAAATTTAAGATTAATTAAAAAAAATAAAAAGTTCCCAAATTTACCATTTCAGTCAAATATCTGTCTACTCAACATGCCTATTTTTTGTCAATAATGACATGTATTGACTATTTCCATTCTAAATATCTTGAGAACGGTTGATCGTAGCGACTTTTACCAAGAGACATTTTTTACGTAAAAAATCACAGAAATGTATATTTTTTCACTCAGTAGTTTTATACAGGTACGGACGAAAAGTTATTACTCTCCAAAACAGTTAAAATACATGTAGATGGCGCCCTGTACAAATAGGAGTCGTATTGACATCAAAATCAAATTTCTCATGTCAAAAAACTCCCAGACACCAATTTTCATCCCAATGTTGACGTTACTTCAGAAATTAGTTGGAAAAAATTGAAATAAAAATGAAACTTCTACACCCTGTATCTCCGAAACTAAGCATTTTAGGGTATACATTTATACAAACTTTTTTACTTATTTTTATCTGCAGGATATGCTCCCGAAGTTTCAGGAATACAGTTCGAACCACCCTGTATATTATATCTAGGGAAAAAAATAAAACAATTTATAGTTTTTAAAAAATATTTCATTAAATAGGATAATTAATATTATAATTACGACTGTACATTATATAAATATTAAATTAAGAATCTTAGAATTATTTAATGTGCAATGGCATTAAACCTAGTCCAGAACTACTACTTTTTTTGCCCTTCCACGAACTCTTCGCGCCTGATTTTCTCGGAGACTTCCCAGCATTTCTCTTTCGTCTTTTGAACCCGCCTTTATTACCCTTCCATGTACCCTTCCTTTTGTACCCTCCTCTACGTGGTTTACTTGAAGACGACGAAGATAAGTCTGCGAAAGATTCAAAAAGATCGTCTTCATCGGGTCTGCATTTCATCGGTTGTTCTTCGGCCACCTGAGTCAAGGGTAACATGTCATCGTACTTTTTTCGATAATCTGCGGTGATTTTCAGGAAGTACTGACCGTACTTGTCAAAATTTGCCGTCGTGACGTGCTGGATTTTCAGCATTTCGTCGCGAGTTTGGGGAAGGACGTCGCTCATGCTTTTTATAGCGGAAAGATTCATTATGGATGACAGAGTAAGGTTTCTTTCCATGGCTAAACGACGACATTCTTCCAAGAGGTCTTCATGGCATCGTACCTATTAAAAAAACATACATTGTTTTTTACACATTTTTCATTATCGACTTATTACAACAAAAAAAAAATTAAGGTTAGTTGACGGGATCTAAAAAATTATCAAAATTAGATTTTGTTGTTGAAGATTATACAGGGTGAGTCTTAAATAAGTGCAAATATTTTTAGGTATAGTATTTTTCGACCTCAGAAACACGACTATGAGTTTTTTTCGCGAAAAAAAAAATCAAAATTTATATTGGGTTGTATATTTTGGTATTTTTATTATATTTTTTTATTTTTTTTTTATTTTAAAAGTCCCAAACGGTTTTTTTTGTATTTAATTTTTGGCGAAAATATTTATTCACTCAGATGCAAAAAAAACAGAAATTTTTGGTCAAATTTAAAGTGTAATATTTTTGTTATTTTTAGTTCTATTATCATGATTTTTTTAGCAACTTGTAAGTAATTATATCAACTTTAATTTGTAAACTCAGTTTTTTATAAATTTTAGTATTTGGCATATTATACAGGGTTAATCGAGTTGTTTTTTTACCTTAACTTTAAAACACCCTGCACAATAATTTCGTGTGTAAATTTTCTTAAAATATAATTTTACGGTCAGAACCATGTCTCCTGAGCATTTTGTTTTTTGGATCATGTCAATAAATGCCTTGGTTAATTTTTAAGAGCGAAATGAACTTGACATCAACAATTTGCAATTTTTTCAATTATCATTTCTTTTTGAAGTTATTTTTCAATATGAGAAACCGACTTTGGTGATTATTGTAAACTATATACTACTATGAACTACCCATCATGTTCGACGTTTGGGACATGCTTAGCAGGGTTAGAGGTCGCGAAGCAGTACCAGCTTCATTAAATGAACTTCGGTTGGTCCTTAAAGAAGAATGGGAAAGCATAACGCAATGATATATGCAGCCTCAATGACAATATGAACGGACGTATACAGGCAGTTATAGCATGGTTATAGCACCCAAGAGAAGCAATCCAAAGTATTAGGATATTTTTTAAGATTTTTTTTCTGTTTGTAGACTTAAGTATTACATATGCTTTCTTTAATATAATTAGTTCTGTTATCGTTATTAATGTTTATTAAAACCAGCAGTGTATCGTTAGCCTGAAACGTTTTATTTTTATTTAGTATAAAGTATCCAATGCAGTGTAATATGATATTACGACAATAGTAACCAAAACCATCTCGACATATTAAAAAATTACATCAAAAAGTAATGATAATTAAAAAAAATTGCAAATTGATCGTGATTAGTTCATTTCGTTCTTAAAAATTAACCAAAGGATGTATTGACATGAATCCAAAAACAAAATGCTCAGGAGTCATGGTTCTGACCGTAAAATTATATTTTAGGAAAATTTACATATGAAATTATTGCACAGGGAGTTTTAAAGTTAAGGTAAAAAAACATCCCCTCGATTAACATATAAAAAAATTGAGTTTACAAATTAAAGTTGATATAATTACTTACAGGTTGCTAAAAAATTCATGATAATAGAACTAAAAATAACAAAAACATAAACTTCTCCCTTGCGTTTTTTTGAATCTGAGTGTATATTTGCCGCCATGTCAGTGATTATATGACATATGTCATGCGACAATGACACTTGTGTCAAAACGACGTGTCAAAATTTCATGTCAGATGGGAAATCTACAAAAAATGAGTTGCTAACAAACGAACCTTAAGCTGAGCCAATTCTAGCTTCCTGGCTGCCTGTAGCTTAGCTACAGGCTTCTTTTTGGCTTTGGAAGTACTAGCCGGAGTTTGTGGTCGACTAACTGGTTCCGTACTTCTTGGACGTGATTCTACCACTGGTTCTGGTGTAGGTTTCGATTTTCTTTCTTCACTGACGGAAATTGTTAGTTTCTGCTCGGAATTTAGGAACCGATAAAACGCCTGTCCTGGTTT